TTGTTTATTTTTGTTTTTATTTCCATTTCTCTAGGAGGTGGGTCAAAAAGGATCTTGCTGTGATTTATGTCATAGACTGTTCTGCCTATGTTTTCCTCTAAGAGTTTGATACTTTCTGGCCTTACATTTAGGTCTTTAATCCATTTTGAGTTTACTATTGTGTATGGTGTTAGGGAGTGATCTAATCTCATACTTTTACATGTACCTGTCCAGTTTTCCCAGGACCACTTACTGAAGAGGCTGTCCTTTCTCCACTGTACATTCCTGCCTCCTTTATCAAAGATAAGGTGACCATATGTGCGTGGGTTTATCTCTGAGCTTTCTATCCTGTTCCATTGATCTATCTTTCTGTTTTTGTGCCAGTACCATACTGTCTTGATTACTGTAGCTTTGTAGTATACTCTGAAGTCAGGGAGCCTCATTCCTCCAGCTCCATTTTTCATTCTCAAGATTGCTTTGGCTATTCGGGGTCTTTTGCGTTTCCATACAAATTGTGAAATTTTTTGTTCTAGTTCTGTGAAAACTGCCAGTGGTAGTTTGATAGGGATTGCGTTGAATATCTAGATTGCTTTGGGTAGTAGAGTCATTTTCACAATGTTGATTCTTCCAATCCAAGAACATGGTATATCTCTCCATCTATTTGTATCATCTTTAATTTCTTTCATTAGTGTCTTATAATTTTCTGCATACAGGTCTTTTGTCTCCTTTGGTAGGTTTATACCTAGATATTTTATTCTTTTTGTTGCAGTGGTAAATGGGAGTGTTTTCTTGATTTCTCTTTCAGATTTTTCATCATTAGTGTATAGGAATGCCAGAGATTTCTGTGCATTAATTTTGTATCCTGCTACTTTACCAAATTCATTGATTAGCTCTAGTAGTTTTTTGGTAGCATCGTTAGGATTCTCTGTGTATAGTATCATGTCATTTGCAAACAGTGACAGCTTTACTTCTTCTTTTCCGATTTGGATTCCTTTTACCTTTTCTTCTCTGATTGCTGTGGCTAAAACTGCCAAAACTATGTTGAATAAGAGTGGTGAGAGTGGGCAACCTTGTCTTGTTTCTGATCTTAGTGGAAATGTTTTCAGTTTTTCACCATTGAGGATGATGTTGGCTGTGGGTTTGTCATATATGGCCTTTATTATGTTGAAGAAAGTTCCCTCTTTGACTACTTTCTGGAGGGTTTTTATCATAAATGGGTGTTGAATTTTGTCAAAAGCTTTCTCTGCATCTATTGAGATGACCACATGGTTTTTCTCCTTCAATTTGTTAATATGGTGTATCACATTGATTGATTTGCATATATTGAAGAATCCTTGCAATCCTGGAATAAACCCCACTTGATCATGATGTATGATCCTTTTAATGTGCTGTTGGATTGTTTGCTAGTATTTTGTTGAGGATTTTTGCATCTATGTTCATCAGTGATATTGGCCTGTAGTTTTCTTTCTTTGTGAAATCCTTGTCTGGTTTTGGTATCAGGGTGATGGTGGCCTCGTAGAATGAGTTTGGGAGTGTTCCTCCCTCTGTTACATTTTGGAAGAGTTTGAGAAGGATAGGTTTTAGCTCTTCTACAAATGTTTGATAGAATTCGCCTGTGAAGCCATCTGTTTCTGGGCTTTTGTTTGTTGGAAGATTTTTTTCAGTTTCAGTCCTTGTGATTGGTCTGTTCATATTTTCTGTTTCTTCCTGATTCAGTCTTGGCAGGTTGTGCATTTCTAAGAATTTGTCCATTTCTTCCAGGTTGTCCATTTTATTGGCATAGAGTTGCTTGTAGTAACCTCTCATGATCTTTTGTATTTTTGCAGTGTCATTTGTTACTTCTCCTTTTTCATTTCTAATTCTATTGATTTGAGTCTTCTCCCTTTTTTTCTTGATGAGTCTGGCTAATGGTTTATCAATTTTGTTTATCTTTTCAAAGAACCTACTTTTAGTTTTATTGATCTTTGCTATTGTTTCCTTCATTTCTTTTTCATTTATTTCTGATCTGATCTTTATGATTTCTTTCCTTCTGCTAACTTTGGGTTTTTTTTGTTCTTTCTCTAATTGCTTTAGGTACAAGGTTAGGTTGTTTGTTCGAGATGTTTCCTGTTTCTTAAGGTAGGATTGTATTGCTATAAACTTCCCTCTTAGAACTGCTTTTGCTGCTTCCCATACGTTTTGGGTCGTCGTGTCTCCATTGTCATTTGTTTCTAGGTATTTTTTGATTTCCTCTTCGATTTCTTCAGTGATCACTTCGTTATTAAGTAGTGTATTGTTTAGCCTCCATGTGTTTGTATGTTTTACAGATCTTTTCCTGTAATTGATATCTGGTCTCATAGCATTGTGGTCAGAAAAGATACTTGATACAATTTCAATTTTCTTAAATTTACGAAGCCTTGATTTGTGACCCAAGATATGATCTATCCTGGAGAATGTTCCATGAGCACTTGAGAAGAATGTGTATTCTGTTGTTTTTTGATGGAATGTCCTATAAATATCAATTAAGTCCATCTTGTTTAATGTATCATTTAAAGCTTGTGTTTCCTTATTTATTTTCATTTTGGATGATCTGTCTATTGGTGAAAGTGGGGTGTTAAAGTCCCCTACTATGAATGTGTTACTGTCGATTTCCCCTTTTATGGCTGTATTTGCCTTTTTTATTGAGGTGCTCCTGTGTTGGTTGCATAAATATTTACAATTGTTGTATCTTCTTCTTGGATTGATCCCTTGATCATTATGTAGTGTCTTCTTTGTCTCTTCTGATAGTCTTTATTTTAAAGTCTATTTTGTCTGATATGAGAATTGCTATTCCAGCTTTCTTTCGGTTTCCATTTGCATGGAATATCTTTTTCCATCCCCTTACTTTCAGTCTGTATGTGTCCCTAGGTCTGAAGTGGGTCTCTTATAGACAGCATATATATGGGTTTTGTTTTTGAATCCATTCAGCCAGTCTGTGTCTTTTGGTGGGAGCATTTAATCCATTTACATTTAAGGTAATTATCGATATGTATGTTCCTATTCCCATTTTCTTAATTGTTTTGGGTGTGTTACATAGGTCTTTTCCTTCTCTTGTGTTTCTTGCCTAGAGAAGATCCTTTAGCATTTGTTGTAAAGCTGGTTTGGTGGTGCTGAATTCTGTCAGCTTTTGCTTGTCTGTAAAGTTTTAATTTCTCCATCAAATCTGAATGAGATCCTTGCTGGGTAGAGTAATCTTGGTTGTAGGTTTTTCTCCTTCATCACTTTAAATAGGTCCCGACAGTCCCTTCTGGCTTGCAGAGTTTCTGCTGAAAGAGCAGCTGTTAACCTTATGGGGATTCCCTTATGTGTTATTTGTTGTTTTTCCCTTGCTGCTTTTAATATGTTTTCTTTGAATTTAATTTTTGATAGTTTGATTAATATGTGTCTTGGTGTGTTTCTCCTTGGATTTATCCTGTATGGGATTCTCTGTGCTTCCTGGACTTGATTGACTATCTCCTTTCCCATATTAGGGAAGTTTTCAACTATAATCTCTTCAAATATTTTCTCAGTCCCTTTCTTTTTCTCTTCTTCTTCTGGAACCCGTATAATTCGAATGTTGTGTGCATTTAATGTTGTCCCAGAGGTCTCTGAGACTGTCCTCAGTTGTTTTCATTCTTTTTTCTTTACTCTGCTCTGCAGTAGTTATTTCCACTATTTTATCTTCCAGGTCACTTATCCATTCTTCTGCCTCAGTTATTCTGCCATTGATCCCATCTAGAGTATTTTTAATTTCATTTATTGTGTTGTTCATAGTTGCTTGTTTCATCTTTAGTTCTTCTAGGTCCTTGTTAAATGTTGCTTGCATTTTGTCTATTCTATTTCCAAGATTTTGGATCATCTTTACTATCATTATTCTGAATTCTGTTTCAGGTAGACTGCCTATTTCCTCTTCATTTGTTAGGTCTGGTGGGTTTTTATCTTCCTCCTTCATCTGCTGTGTAGTTTTGTGTCTTCTCATTTTGCTTATCTTCCTTTTTTTGGGGTCTCCATTTTGCAGGCTGCAGGTTCATAGTTCCCGTTGTTTTTGGTGTCTGTCCCCAGTGGCTAAAGGTGGTTCAGTGGGTTGTGTAGGCTTCCTGGTGGAGGGGACTAGTGCCTGTGTTCTGGTGGATGAGGCTGGATCTTGTCTTTCTGGTGGGCAGGTCCACATCTGGTGGTGTGTTTTGGGGTGTCTGTGGCCTTATTATGATTTTAGGCGGCATCTCTGCTAATGGGTGGGGTTGTGTTCCTGTCTTGCTGGTTGTTTGGCATAGGGTGTCCAGCACTGTAGCTTGCTGGTCATTGAGTGAAGCTGGGTGTTGGTGTTGAGATGGAGATCTCTGGGAGATTTTCGCCATTTGATATTACGTGGAGCTGGGAGGTCTCTTGTGGACCAGTGTCCTGATGTTGCCTCTCCCACCTCAGAGGCACAGCACTGACTCCTGGCTGGAGCACCAAGAGCCTTTCATCCACACAGTGCCACCTGAGCAGGCAGCAAATCCACTGCCATTCTTTCCTTCTTAGTTTTCCTGAAATAAATTTGTTCTTTTGTTTATCTCATATAGTGAGAACTCCAGAAATGAGCAGCACAGGGTCAGTATGGCAGCTCCATAATGTCATCAGAGACCAGCCTCTTTCTGTTTTTGCTGCTAGAGTTGGAAGGTCTCCTGCAGAGGTGGGGGTGGCTATCTGAAGCATACTTTTTATTAAAATTTGTTTTTAAGTTTTATTTATTTTTGGAAGTTTTTTTTTTTTGAGTGTGTTTTTCATCCTTGAATCTAAACTCATGCAGAGCATCATCTCTACCCTATTTAATGATTTTGAAACATATTTTTTAATATATTAAAGTCTTTAAAGTTAGAGATGAAAGAGCAATAGCTATTTTTCTCATTGTTGAATTTTTCAAAGGCAATCCTATTGGTTCACTTATGATCCTGTTCTGGCACTAACTAAAAATGAAGCAATTCAGAGTGAGACACTTACATTTTATTACATTCCAAATATTTTGAGACTATTTTTATTGAAATTTTATACTCAAATCATAGCTCTCTGGGAACAACCAATAAGTTAATGTCAAAACACAGAAAGTACTTCTAAGGTGGGAAAACGTCTATTTTCATTTGGCCTAATTAATACCTTATTCTCGTCAAAAGGCAAAGTTATAGATAATTAAAAGTAGGTTTTCCCTCTTTGGAGGAAAGGGAGTATTGGGCATGTCCTGGTCACTTTTTCTTTCCTTTCTGTTTTTTTTGTGTGTCTGGAGCCGGGACCTTCTTTTCTGGCTCTAGCCGGATCGCGGCTTCCTCCGCAGCCTGAGACTCCAATCTTTGGCGCTCAGCTTCCAGTAACTTTTTTCTGTACTGTTCCCGGATATTGAAGATCTTCTGCCGGGCTTCATCTAAGGAGTCCTAATCCAAACAAACAAGCAAATAAACAAAAAACCCAAGCAAATATGATCGACTGATAGAGCCTTATTATGGTTCCATAAAAAACTGCACTCCCTTTCCTCAGGCCAACAGAATCATGTAGGAAATTATTGAAGAAAGATGAAAATTAGGTTATGGTCGCAAATGTTTCTTAGTGCATAAAACATGAGATATCAAAGGGCACATGAGATTTTACAGAATGGTAAATAAAAGTGTCAGTAGAAGAAAAATTAAGAGAAAGGTGAAGAAAGAAATGAGCAGGGATTTTGACAAAGCAACTATCTGCTTTAAATGAATTCAGGCCTAATCTGTATAAAATATGCAGCCGGTGTGTCTCTCACAGTAACTGTGCTCAGTAAATTACTAGTTCCCCATACGTATTCTAACCCTGACAAAATATATCTGATTTGCACTTGAAGAACTTTAGGTGGTATCTTTTTTCTTCCTCTCACTTACTTCAGCTTCACTTCTTAACGTGGCTGGTGCCAGCGATTTCTGAGCCTTTGGGGCATTCTGTGTAGCAAACTGGGTTGACTCTTAAGAGTTTTTCTACTGCCAGCTTAGGATTTGGCTACTTCAAGCCTGTTAATGCAATCTTCCTTCAGCTACTTTCCGACTTCACAAATATTTTGCTATTGTCTCTGCTTCCATTCTTCCCATTTTGTGGATAAATTTTCAATAGTGTATTTTAGAGGGATTTTAGGGAGTGAGTAAAATAGATGTATATAATTAATTTGCCAATTTTCTGAGAAGTTGGGAACTAAATGTTTTCAAGACTTCTTTCTACCTGGTTACAATATGATTCTATGACACCTTTTTAATATTACAGAAGAATTTGTCAATTGTGATCCAAGTATATGCCCTTTTAGACTCACCCGCATCTCCCCGTACATCTCCAGAACTCGCTCCTTTACTTTAAGCCTTTCTTCTTGCTCAATATCACGAATGCTAAGGAGTCTGGTCCTATATTGTCGAAACTGATGGACCTCCTCTGCCTTTTGCATTGCTTGCTGCTGATTCAGCTCATCCGTTTGCAGCAGAGGATCAGTATTTGTTTTTCTTGATATAAAAACATCAAAAGAGATACATAAGTCATTTGGGAACTCTAGCATGAACTTTAGCACTCAAATAATTTAAAATCATATCAGTAGGGTGGTGGTCTGAATCAAATCAAATATCAGGAACAGAAAGAATAAATCATTATTTTTACATGGGCTAGGCTCCATTTATTAAGTCACTAATATTTTAGGAAATTATTTTAGGAAAATACCAGCAAAATTAGATGTACTATTTGAAGAGGTGTTTGTGGAATTGGTGTGCGAAGCTATGAGAATATTTTGTAGGTGTTTTCTTTTTAATTTATGAAGCTAAGTAGATTTGAAAATGTTTTCAAATTGATAAATGTGCTTGAGTAACTGTCTCTATTAATCCTATTGTTTAGTTCTTAAGAAAATTCAATCTAATTAAATAATAGCAGCAGGTATGATGGGATTTTTCTGCAGCTCAACTCACCTTAACCAGGCTACAAATTAAATCTTTACAGAAAACATTTAAATGCTTTTATAACTGACTTAATAAAACATTTGTTAAATTTAATATATAAATTCTATACTTCTAAAAATTCAAATACACTTAAAATATATTAAGCATTTAATTTCAAATTTTCTGTTGTTTAGCAACTGCCTATTGACAATCTATCCAAAATTCTGTGAACACAGATGTCTGCATTAACCATGTTTATTAAAACTTACCGTACATATTGACTTAAGTCTACACATTCTAGTTTTTTTCGAATAAGTTGGGGAGGCATTTCCAAAATTGTTGGGGATCGTGAACGAGGCCCTGTTGTAAAAAAAAAAAAAAAGTCCTAGGCTTTCAAGAAAGAATCAATAATGACTAACTAAACGATTGTATATCTTGTTTAAATTGACAATATTTTGGACTTGCCTTGTTTAATACGATTTTAATGTGGTTTAATGACTTTATTGAAACGTAATTATATTTTATGTTTATCCTCTAGCTGGTGTAACTATACTTACAGTTAAATGAAGGAGATGACAAAATGAATATAGAAAAAGATAAATATGCTCTATAAGAAGAGTAACAAAATTACTCTAATTACAGTTAAATGAAAGCAGAGACCTAAAAAGGTCATATTTTGTTACAAAATTTCATTATAAACAAGTTAAATAAACTAATATTTAAAGAGCTTGGTATATCCGTGAAAGCTATGCAAAGCACTATGGGGGTGGGATATAAAAATGTTTTAAGACACAGTATCCTATCCTCAAGAAAGTTTTAGTCCAGTAGAGTAGGCAATATATAACAGGTGAACGCTGAAAATCAAATATCAGGAGATTTTTACCCCACGGACTCAAGAACCCACAAGAATAGTTTTAAGAAAGAAATTTTAGAGACTAAGATATTAACCATTCAGCCTTTCCAGCTCATTTAGTCTCTCTTTTTAAAAAATTATTGAAGTGTAATTTACATACCATAAAAATTACCAATTTTAAAAGTATAATTCAATATGTTTTAGTAAATTTACAGAGTTATGCAACCAGCACCAAAACGCTGTTTCAAAACATTTCAGTTATCCAAATAAATTCTTTTGTGCCCTCTTAAAGTTACTCTGCATTCCCACCACAAGCCCCAGGCTTTCTGTCTCTGTAGATTTGCCTTTCCTGGATATTTCATGCAAGTAGGAATCAAAAAATTAACTTTTTAAGAAACTGTCAAATCATAGTGTTTTGATTATTGTTAGCTTCATAATAAATTCTGAAATCATGAAGGTAAAATCCTTCCTCTTGGTTCTTTATGAAAATTATTTTGGTCATTCTGGGTATTTGCATTTTCATATAAGTTTTGGGATCAGCTTGTCAAATTCTGTAAAATGTCTACTAGGATTTTGATAGAAATTTATAGATCACTATAAATTTGATCTATCTAAATTCAGTATCTAAATTCAGATACACTGAATTTATAGATCAATTTAGGGAGAATTAATATCTTACTATATTGAGTCTTCTAGCCCCAAAGCATGGACTGCCTCTCTCTTTATTTAGATCTTTCAAAATTTCCTTCAGAAATGTTTTGTAATTTTCAGTATACAGGCCTTGCACTTTTGTTAAATTTAGTTCCATATATTTATTATTGATGCCATTGTGAATGAAATTGTCTTAATTTCATTTTTTGATTGCTCATTGAAATGTAGAAATAAAAATATATTAATCTTCTATCATGTGACCTCACCAAACTCACTTGTTAGTTCTAGATGATATTCTTGGTTCTTTTCCCATGATTTCTTAGGATTTTCAATATACAGGATCAATTTGTCTGACAACACAGTTTTATTTCTTCCTTTCTGATATGGATGTATGGATAAAGTGGACATCCTATGTTCCTGAAGGTTGAAATCACTATATCTGCTTTGTTACACAGATCTCTTTATTTAATTTTTGGCTTACTTTTTGCTTTTCCTGACCAGTGTCACAGTCTCAAGCAGCTGTGATGTTGGCTATTCCAATCGTTTGCCACCAAGTTCACTATTCCTTGCAACAATATCCATGGGCATAGAACTTTTCCATGGAGCCTCAAATCAGGTAAATCCTTTTTAGCATTGGCAGCAAGACTGCTGGTTCTCCTGGCTACCATGCTACAGACCTTGGGGCTGATGAGGGAACCCCACGTTAATATGCAATAGTTGGTAGGCTAACTGTGGTAGACAGACTAATGGACCTCCGAGGATATCCATATTCTAACCTCTGAAGCCTATGAATATGCTACCATACAAGGACTTTGCAGATGCAATTAAGGATCTCAAGATGGGACGATAATGCTGTATTAGTCAGCTGGACTAAACCCTTGTAAGGGAAAGAGAGGAATGTAGAAAAGATAGAATCCAAGAAGGAGATGAAGTGATGGTCATAGAGGAAAGAGAGAGAGGGGGAAGGAAAGAGAGACAGAGGGATTTGAAGATGCTCTGCTGCTGGCCTTGAATATAAGGAAGGAGCCATAAGCCAGAGTCAATGGCCCTAGAAGCTGAAAATGGAAACCGATCCTCTCCAAGGGCCTCCAGGAGGAATGCTGCCCTGCCAACAGCTTAACTTTAGAATTTCTGCCCTCTAGAACTGCAAGAAGTTTGTGTTAAGTCACTAAATTTGTGGTTATTTCTTACCGAAGTAACAAGAAATTTATCCAACTAAGTTAATTTATTTTTTTGTCTAATAAATATTTTTCATTTAGTTGTACACCCTCAGAATTTTGAAATGTTTCTTAATCTTTTCCCATTTATCATTGCTTTTGGGGAGAGGATATGTCAAGTCTTCACTCTGCCATGCAAAAAACCCTGCCCTCCCACTGGCTGTTTAATCTTGCTTTTCACGTGTGGTTGGAATAGTCTCCAGGAATATTGTAAAGTGTTTAATTTATAACAACTTGTTAAAAGGGATTATTCATAGAAATATAATCTAATGTAAAACTTTAAAAATGTAAAAAACAGTAACATCAAATTTTTCAAAACTATTTTTTCAAAAATATCATGCTTTTATAGGCATGATACCCTTGAGAAATAAAGAATATAGTAGGACAAACCCTAACTCTGTGCCATTATTGAAACATAAATTCAGTCATGTTTTTCACTTTATAACATTAAATAAAACATTCCTGAAATATTGCATCTTATATACAATATGACTCTTCTAGAAACCAGTGGTTAATAACTTTTCTTTTTTCATCATGGTTGCTCTGTGATCTTAGATTTCTAAAGTTCATTTGTTTTTCTTATGAACCTATCTACTTTTGTTGCATATATTTTTGGCATTTCAAACTTGAATTGTTTCTGAAAGACACCAACTCCGCTGACTCTGACTGGAAAGAAAATGTTTTTGATTAATTGGATATTTGTGTTCTCTTGCATCCTGCCAAATAATATGTATTTAAACAGGGAGGGTATGAAAGGGGAAGAGAAGGTTAATCTTCATTTTCACTTATAAAATTGTTGTATCAGAATAGGGTGTAAGTGTAGTATGATCTTGGACCTCTAGAACAGTGCAACTCCAAGTGTGTGCCCATGCATGCATGTGTGTGTGTGCACGCATCGTCCGTCTGCCAACTGGTACTCTGTGGGATAAGCTCTGAAAGTGAGAGTATGCATTTAGAGATATTTTTACAGCAATTGGTCATCACTGGGTCGTTTTATTATATTTTATAAAAGTTTCAGTTTGCAACAGAATCGGCAGAAAACTTCTTTCATCATAGATTGTAAGAAAATAGCTGTTTAAAAGAAATGGTGAAGAATAGTTTGACTAATTGATTGTGAAGCCTGGGGAAAAGATTGGGACTAAAGACAAAGATCACCTCCAACCGTTGGAAGAGGCACTTTCCAGAGGCCTCCAGAAATAAAAGGGAAGTTGAAAAAGCAAAGTTTGAACTCTTGACCTTGATGATGGCTTGGTGTTGAGAAAGAATGCATAAGAGTGAAATCCATAATGATATTATTTACATGTCCTCTGGCATTATGAAGGAGGTTGTTCTAAGTTACCTACTATATATGAAAATAGAAAGTAGCAAGAATAAGGTAGCATTTTGGGAGTCACAAATAAATGAGTACATAAATATACATATATGTATATATGTATATAAATGTAGAGGCCAGAGCATGTAAATCTCTCACAAGGACTGTAATCTCCTATGGGCGATGCTTCCTCGGGAGTGAGGGCCAATCTGTGGTGCACCAACAGCAGAGGTGAGAGCAACACACAAAGTTCCAGAGAACAGCTAGATAGCCGGACCCATGATTTTCAAGCAGGATTCCTTCTAGAGCAACAGTACGTGGGGTACATGGCAGTGTTTCAGTGCCATAGGATGTACTAGAACCATACAATAGCACACCTCTTCTTGGTGGGAGGGGGAGTAAATTTCTTGTTGATGGTGTGTAATTCAACTTATCATATATTGAAATAAAATTGTAATAAAACATACTTAAGAATGCTTTGAAGCATTTTTTGCTTGAGGACAGCAAAAAATTAAAATAAAATTGTAATATATTAAAATAAAATTGTAATAAAACATACTTAAGTTATATTAAAATAAAAATAAAATATATTAAATAAAACTAATAAAATATTAAAATATAAAATTAAAATATATTAAAATAAAATTGTAATAAAACATACTTAAGAATGCTTTGAAGCATTTTTTGCTTGAGGACAGGCTGCTTTGGCCTCTAGGTCTTCCACCCCTGCTCACTCTTATCTTTCTTCTCTGTTTCCTGACCCCTCCTTATTACCCCAAAATACACCCCAATAATGGGTTAATATCTAAAATATATAAACTGCTCATACGACCCAATATAAAAAAAACAACCAAACAACCTGATTAAAATGTACGAAGACCTGAATAGACATTTTTCCAAAGAAGACATACAGATGACCAACAGGCACATGAAAAGATGCTCAATATGCTAATCATCAGAGAAATGCAAATCAAAACCACAATGAGGTATCACCTCACACCTGTTGAATGACTATCATCAAAAGACTACAAATAACAAATGTTGGCAAGGATGTGGAGAAAAGGGAACCCTTGTACACTGCTGGTGGGAATGTGAGTTGGTGAAGCCACTGTGGAAAACAGTCTGGAGGTTCCTTGAAAAACTAAAAATAGAGCTACCATATGATCCAGCAATTCCACTCCTGCATATATATCTGAAGAAAATGAAAACACTATTTCAAAAAGATTCATGCACCCCAATATGCACATGTTCACAGCAGCATTATTTACAATAGCCAAAATATGGAAGCAACCGAAGTGTCCATCAACAGATGAATGGATAAAGAAGATGTGGTGTGTATATATATATATATATATAAATATATATATATAATGGAAAACTTTGTGTTAGAATAGAGATTTTAGAACATTTTAGAAACCAAATATTTAAAATTTGTTATAAAAGATGTAGTATACTATAGATAAAACAAACTGGTTTTAGTGACAACTGTATATGCGATCTGTGCATTTTTAGTATTCGTAGACACAGAAAACTGTGAAAATATAACTGCTACTTAAAACTATGTGAAAATATAACTGCTACTTAAAAATTTAAAAATAAATTTCCCACTTTTATCTTTAGGTTAAGTATTTAGTAGTCAGGTCCTTGAGCAGATTACCAACTCTGATAATCAAAATGAAGACCTGTACACATATTTTTCTATGTTTAACCCTAGCCATCATGTGCTTAACTATCTTTTCCAGAATTTTTATTTTAAGATATGTGTTTATCCTACCAATAAAGGCAATACTTACTGATATTTTCCTTCTGCATGCTCTGCTCACGCTCTTCCTTCCCTGTGGGGGATGATCCTTCACTTTCACTACTTGTTGATTTTGCCAGATCCTTGAAGCCCTTGTTTGTCTGCCACTGCTTCCACAGCATACTCCCTGATAGTACAGTCTCTCTGTTATCTAAACTCATGGAACTCTTTGTATCTGACTCTTTTATGGCACTTGAAGATGTTTCTACTAAATATGATATATGCATTACCGAAAAAACTTGCATTCTATGAAATCACGTGCAAAAATAGCGAGACATAGAATACATAAATACGTAAAGCTCAGAAACAGGAAAAATTAATTCATGGTCATAGAGATCAAATAGTTACTTTCAGGAAGGAAAAGGCTGGGAAAGAGAATGAAGAGGACTATTGGGGTGTATTAAGGGTTTTTTATCTTGATCTAAATGGGGTGGCTCCTGAATATACACACATATGAAAATACATCAAGCTGTGCAATTAAGATTTGTACCTTTTTTGCCTGTATGTTACATGATAAGGTCAGCCTTCTCTGAGCTCTGTTCTCCACTAGGCCTTGTCCTTGACTTGTGATGAATCCCAGTTTTAGCCAGGAATCCTGCCGAACTAGTTTATCAAGAATCCCCCTACTCTTGATATCCAATTAAACTCCTCTTCCTCCACACTTGATATTTAATCAAATTTCTCTTCCCTGACGTTTGATACCTAACCAAATTCCTGTAAGTAATTTTTCATCCACTCCCTGCTAGTTAGTTATAAATCCTCACTTGTTTCTGTTGTTTTCAGAGTTGAGTTCAATCTCTCCCCTATTGCGATAGTCATAAATAAAATCTTCTTTGACATTTTTAACGTGTCCAGTGCAATAAATTTCCTTTTACATACAAATTAGCACAACATTTAAAAAATTAATAATAAAATCTAGAGCCTAAAGAAAAAGAACTGTATTCTATTCACCTTTATATTCCTAACATTACATTAAACTCTACCAATTAGAGGAGTGAGTACTTTAGGAGTTAGAAATATTTCAAATCCCAACTTGATCACTTTTTAGATGTATGGCATAGGAAGAATAAGGTGACCATCTGAGCTTTGGTCTCTAAATCTACAAAATGGAAATAGTAAGGTCTACCTCATAGTTGCTGTAGGTTAAAGTGAGATAATAAACATAAAGCACTTTGAGCAGTGCCCATCCCAGAATAACAGGATTGGGGTGATATTTATTTTTTATCCCCTTCACATGAAATGTTAAGGGACATTACTTTTATAACAATTATTGAGTTATACTCCTGAAGATGTAAAAGTGGAAAAGCACGATTTGGGATGTGAATGTCTTCAGCCTCCCTGGACAACTCAGCATGGTGATAGATGGAGGTATAGCCAAGTGTTTGTGGGAAGAGCCCTGGGGTGATGGAGAGCTCTGTCTGCATGCTGCCTCTGTCCCTGGGTAGCTTGTGAATTTAGCAAATTACTCTGGGCCTGGGTCCTTACTGGCAAGTTGGAAATAATATTTATATCAGTGAGTTGATGTGAGTATTGGATGAAATAATTAGTATTTTATAGCTCCAGGCCCATGGCAAATTGTTCACTGAAAGTAGTTAGCTTTCTTACTTTGATTCTTATTGCTATTGTTTATTGCTATTGCGATTAGAAAGGTGCCAGATTTATAGTTGTGAGCCTGCCTTCAAGTTCACATACTGCTACCTTCTAATGAGGGTTTCATCTTTTTTTCATCTTATTTCTGGTTTCATCTTTTCTTAAATGGGGAAGATTATATCTACTTGGGGACAAAGTGAACACCTGCTTGGTAAAAAGAAAATGCTTGAGAATCTATTTTCTTACAAAACTGTCTATAACTTTACAATCCTATAATGAAATAGATTCTGAAATTTTTCTTTTTACCAAGCATGACTTGCTGACTAGCTTTGAAGAGGTGCAAGTAACAGCTCCGTGCTTGGGGCAGCTGGGGTAGGGTTCACTGACCTTCTTCCCCTTCTTTGGTTTGGCTTTCAGACATAGGCACACACTCAGCATCAGGTGTTTTCTTAATGAACCGGCTGAGATAATGGAGACGCGCCTGGGCAGCCTAAAGGACAGACATTATCAACACACATTACAGGCAACACCATCTCAACAGTACTCAAAAGACACAGGAAAATGTGAATGAATACGGCAGTCTGAACCAGACCGGCTCTTATGAATTACCAAAGAAAAACTCCAATTCTGAACCATCCATGATCTTGACAGTGATTTGTGAGAACTAATGAAGAAGTCCTAAAACTCATACGCTGTGCATGCTAGCTTAGATCCAGGTGCTCTTGAACCTTTTTCATCTGCCTCAATAACCCTGAGTTGGGGACATGAAGCACATATAAATAATAATGTTTCACTATGGCAATGATTCTTATCTAAAATATAGAGAGGAGGAATCATGAGGTATGTGTATTCCACAAGGGCAGCACATGATTTTTCTCTAAGCACATGAAAGCACATATTAAACATTTTTATGCTTTCTTAGTTGGGAGTGTTAAGGACAGAGTGTTAATCCCAGATGATGTGAAAGGACAAGGCTACCTACAGTTTGGGCCATAAGTGGCACTATTATGTGCTTTGCTTTTGGAAGTCATCTGGGTATCTGGATAATAACATTTCACTATGTGTTCAAATGTGGTCTTAATATTTAGTTAGTTGATGCCTGACAAAATTCCAGATATTTCCTAAAGGAAAGACTATGTTGTTTCACCAATATGGCTCTTGCTTCAGACCACGCCCAGGAATGAAAGGTAAAAGGACAACTTTTCAAACTCAGGTAACCTTGATCGATCTTCCTGGTTCAGTCATCTCCCAGGACTGCTTCATGGCTCGGATTTCATCTGCTCGTTCTGTATCTTTTTTCACTTCAAAAAAGTCTGCTTCGTTGTATTCAGTGACCAACCTCAAAATCCAGTAGGGTTTATTTGGGTCTTCTTGTTGAGGGTGAGCAGTGGGTATCTGGCAAAGTAAAGTAAAAACCTTGGGGTCAGATGCTTTCCTCCTTTCAAAAGGATCTAGATTTTACCCTATGACCCATAATTTCACTTAAGTATTTAAGCCAAGAGAAAGGAAAACATATATTCACAAAAAGATTTGAAAAGAATATTTATTATAGCCTCATTCTTATTAGCCTAAAAAGGGGAAACAATATAAATATCTGTCAACTGATGAATAGATAAACAAATTGTAGTATGTTCATACATGGACTACTACTTAACATTAAAAAGTAATAAACTATTAATGCATACCACAGTGTGGTTGAATTCCACAGACAGACATTATACAGAAATAAAGAAGTTGAGCACAGAAGAGTACTTCTTGTATGAATCATTTGTATGAAATTCCAGAACAGGCAAAACTTGCCTGGGGGAGAGGTATGGGGATGACAGAATCCACTGCAAAGAGGTTTAAGGGAATTTCTAAGCTTATGGAAATGGTCTATAATCTAAACCTGATAGAGATGTGGGTTACATGGTGAATTCACTTGTCAAAACTCACTGAATTGCACATTTAAGATTGTTGCATATCACTCTATGCAAATTTCACCTAAAAACTGTAAATAAAAATAATTCTAAATTGCACTTAGGCTCACTCATACCATCTCTTTACAAGAATGAGGGCAAGAATAGTTGATCATTTCCAAGCCTGGATATACTTGATATATATTCATTAGGAAAGTTAACATTTTGCTGTCTTGTAGGATCACTTTCACGGACCTTAGGCTGGGAGCAGATTGACATAGGACTTGAAAATGTCTAGATAAGTGAGGCTTATTGGTAGCAATCTGTTAAGGAGACGAGCTTGAGTCTGATGAGTTACTAGCATTTTACATAAGACTGAGACAATGTCAGTAATCCACATTACATAACGCAGATGGGGAAGTGGAGATTGGGGGGCCACTGAATAAAGTTTTCACGTGTAGTTTGGTTTTAAGGTTATCAAAAGACCTCCTAGCTTTCTGCAATATTCCCTTAATATTCTGATGAAAATTTAAATCTCACAATTGGATATTCTTTTATTTCTTCCTTCTAAAACACAGTACATAAGCTTTTACCACCTTTTATATTGCTTGATAAGTGAGTTTTTCAGAAACTTCTCTGGGATCAAGTTTTGATTAGGGAAGGGAGCACTATGAAGAACTAAGGGAAGGCCACATGTCTATAAGAATTTATGGATTGAATTTAGCTTATTTGCTTTAAACTTGAATGGTTTTGTTGTTGTTAATGATAGGACTATTTTCTCAGAAAATTCAAATAATTGATTTTATAAACTGGAGTTACAACTAGAAAAGTTAACACACAGCATTATCTTGAAGTTTCAAGGGGAAAAAAGTGGTTGACTGGAACTTCACCTATGTTTTTGAGCAAAACAATGTTGAAAGAAACACATTTTGAATAGAAAATTTTATCTGGCTCTTTCATATTTCAAACGTAATTGTAATTTGACAGAGAGCGTTCCATTTGTCTGCATTTGTTTAGATGATATTACACTAAAAGGCAGTATTTGGACTGTAGAATGTAGCTAGTGAGAACATAAGTAATATAAATTTAAGAAGAAATTAGCTTTTCCATATGAAATAAAATAAAGGATCAAATAAATTCAACATGATTCTGGTGACTAAAGCAAAACTACAAAGTATATTATTATAGTTTTTGGTTTCCTGTTTGGCCCATATGTTAAACTTTCAAACATCAAACAATATAATACTAATAGCTACTAAAACCAACTAGCACAATATTAAGGTTCCTAAAGCTTAGTTCATTTTTAATGTCATAAAAACCCAATTCCCATTTGAATTCTGTAACCAAACATACCTTTTGTGCTTCACAAGATATTCTAAACATTGTCTCTTTCAGGATTCCCTAGAATTCATGAGTATTTGAAAGTTAACTCAAACTGAATCCCACAATTCCTTACTAAATTTGGTGGATCTTCTGAGCAGGCTTTCATTTTGGAGAATATGCATACATTCTTCAAAATTTTGAAAAGAACAGAGGCTTTCACACATGTCAGTTTTTAGTTTCATCCAATCATTAGTTTTCTGAAGAACTTTTTTCTTGACAACATTTTTGCAAGTTTTTAATTTTTTTTCTTCATTTCTTTCTATGTACTTCAACTCTTTTACCTGCAGCTTATCCAGCTTTTCATTTTAACTTTCATCTAGAGGTAAAGATTTTACGCATGGCAAGACTGAATCTAAAAATAGGTGTCAGGAAGTAATATAATAGATCATCAAGTATTATATGGGTTTCTTCTCTATCTGTAGCACTGTTGATAACTTTAGACAGTTCAAGCTTGTGTATGTCACCGTGTTTCTCACATCACTTTCATGATGTCCAATGTCACAGGCACTCTAATGGTATGTCTGGCCAAAGACATTTACACTCATGCATTGCTAATGCTGAGGGGTTATTCGGAAGCAAATCTCCATTGTGATGAAGATCATTTTCCAAATGCACACTTTGCAAAGTAGCCTGGAGCAGCAGATATGGCTCTAGTGGCCTTCCACATCTTATACTGACAGCCTCCCAACTGGTAAGAGTTGATTCCAGGAAAATGACCATAGTTTCAGAAAACAAAAGTTGTTGGCACTTTCCCTCTGTTTACCATGGTAATTACTGCAGCTACCTTAGGACTTCTGGGATTTCTTGCTGTTTCTGTCATTGGTGTGTATCCCATTCTATCCTTAAGAATATTTCCCCAAGTTTGTCGTAAAATGCAGGGCTCCAACTCATTTTGACTGTTCCAACAATGATATTTTGTGAAAACACATCTCATCCTAATTTTCGATAAAGTTCCTCACATTCATCCAAGGGCATATGAAACAGCCCCAACATGAAAGCTAATATGGAACCTGTACTTCCACCACAAATGCAGTCAGAGGGCTGGTGAACTGGCTTCTGAGTGAGTTCACCTGATTTCCGCAATGTCTAAAAAGCAACCACACCCCTTGTTCTTCCATCATCAGTTGTGCGAATTAGGATTCCTCTTTCTTCACTGGATTCATGCAACCAAATTAAGGCCAGAATTTCTCTAACTGCAGCCTGAAGAATGCCATCCTTAATTTGTCTCAGTCATAATAAATATGGAATAATTCTTTCATTGGCAGCCACTCCTTTTCCCTCAGGAAATTCTTGAAGATGAAAAGTCAGTTGTTCAACCCTATTAATGCAGAGCTTTGGCTCAGTTGTTCTTAATGCTTGAATAAATGCCCAGGTTCTGTCATCAGTACTCATCCTGGCAATCTTGTCTTGTTGAAGAGATAAACGCTTTTTCTTCTCTCCGTTTTTGTCTTTGCTAATAGTCTGCTCAATTTTTAACTGCCTCTTCCTGTTCTTTGGACTGAATCATACTTTAATTTGGGAATGTATCCACCAATTTAACCACCTACACTAAAGTTTGTACACCTTCAGTGGGATGAGAAAGAGAGTTAGCTGTACTTTGTTTAGTAGAAACTAGAAGAACCTCATTTGTCCTCTTCTTCCTTCCTCTGACCTGTATCTGGTACAGCTTGTACTCTTTTGTCTGGACTATTGCAGTGCTTTCTGGTGGTTTTCCCATCTCTTATCTTTTCCCCTTTAATTTCATACCCTTAAAAGTCACCAAGGTATCTGAAATGTAAATCTGATCATGTCAGTACACTTCTTAAAGTCAGTACACTTCTCAAAGTCCCACCTCCCAGCCCTGTGTAGCCTAAGCTGTGATCACAAATGATAGGAAGATTTTGTCCTCACAGGTAATTTGTTTTGAGTTCAGTGTTTTAAAATAACTTGAATTTGAGTATCTTTAGGACTCTGCTTGCACTCCTCAAACTTGCCACCCACATACTCTTCCTTACCCTTAATCATTGGGATTACCTATCTGGTCCTGAAAAAATTTGGACTCAGGACCCCTGGCTTGTAGATAGAGTCTCAGCTTTCTAACCAGGCTTTCTAAAAGGCTCCCCTCCACCTGACCCTTACTTACCCTTCCAGCCTCATACCCCATACCTTAGTGGCTCAAAAACCAAATTGTGTTGGATTTTTGCCTCTGAATGTCTTTGCTCACTGATTCAGTTCAGGACTCCTCTAGGCAGAGGCTGAAATAGGTACCTATCCTTTCTACCCTGTGCATACCATATCTAACATTACAACTCTCTCTTTACTTTCAGTCTCCTCCATTAGACTGTGAGTTCCTTGAAGGTAGGGACTTTATAATATTAATATTAGAAACCCAAGTCCCCAAAACAGTGTCTTACATATTAAAAGCTCAATTAACACTTTTTGACACTAAACTAAGGAAGACTGCTTACAGAAGGTGCCCAAGGAATGTCTTTAAGGTATCTAGATGATTGCTGGAAACGGGGAAATGGAATTTTTCAGGTTTTACTCAAAAGATATGGGAAAATAGGGACCCAATGAATCTAAGTTTATTAAATGACTCCAATAAAAAAAGCATCACACCCACCTGAGGCTCAACGCGAGGCACTTGTTTTTCTTTGGCTATCTTTTCTTTCTCAGAAGACTTTTCTTTGCCTTTCCTTGTTGTTTTGGAAGTTCCTAAAGATTTTTGTCCCTCACTAATACTGTGGGAATCTGGACTTCCAAAGGTAATTAATTCCTCATGTTTCTCTCCATGTGCTAGAAAAACAAAAAAAAGAAACCAGTGAGTCATGATATAATAATAAAATCATGTCATGTAGGAAAAAGGGAAGAAGTCAGAAAAATGGTTAGTCTAAGGCATTTGGATTTTTTTTCTTTTTTTAAACAAGCAGGTGAGCAAACAAGCAGACAGCCCTTTTATAAAGATCTGTGTGACTCTCTTTTATACAATTGAGAAATAATTCACATACTATAAACTTCTCATTGAAATGTATAAATCATGGTTTTGGTTTATTCATAAGGTTATATAATGATCATTACTATCTAATTTGTTTCTGATCTGGATGCTCTCAGTTCATTTTCTTGCCTAATTGCCTGGGCTAGTATCTCCAGTACAATATTGAATTGATTATTCTCTGCTTTAATATTTATTATTCCCTTCTTTCTGCCTACTTTGGGTTTACTTCTTTTCTTTCTTTTCCAGTTTTCTAGTTTTTTAAGGTGGAATATTAAGTTATTGATTTGAGATCTTTGTTCATTTTAAATGTAAGAATTTATAGCTATAAAGTTCCCTCTTAGTACTGCTTTCATTGTATCTCATAAGTTTTGGTATGTTGTTAGTTGTTTTTCATTCATCTCTTAAGTATTTTTAAATTTCCCTTATGGTGCACTTTATTTCTTCATGTGGATACAAGTTACTGCATAGTGTCCTTTGATTTCAGCCTGAACGATTTCCTTCAGTATTTCTCATAGGGCAAGTTTGTCAGTGACAAATTTTTTCTGTTTTTGTTTTTCTGGGAATGAGGCTTTGAAAGAGATTCAGTTCCATTTTCCTGTACCAGGAATACAGGCTGTTAGTTTTTAAGGTTACTGCTGGCTGGAGACCAGGGGATGGGACTGGGGCAAGTAAAAATGTCATAAGGCTTACTGTTCTTAAAGAGATATGGCTGTTTTTCTTGAATAAAGCCTTTGTTAATTTCCAGAATTCTGAAAAGTTGATTCTGATCATCTCTGCCAGTTTTTTCATTGTTTTTATGGAGGAGTAAATTTTTGGAGTCCTTTTTCCTGCTATTTCCATTGGTGTCCTCCTGGATTTCTCTTCTTATTTGAAGCTTCTGAGTTATCTCTGCATGCTGTTTGCCTGGGGCAGAGTCCTGAGAGAACGGAGAACTCACATAGGCCAGGTCTCTCACAGCTGCCTGGAGACCTTGTCATAGAGCATGAAATATCAAAAAACTCTGTGGAGTATGTGAGATTCCATACTAAACAGCTCAGCTCTTGAGTGTGATGAGTAGGCAAAGAAAAAAGTGGACTGATTTAACTTGTGAGCAGAAAAGTGAAAATAATGAGACCACAGAATGAAAATAAGGTTAAGAGTAAGAATGAGGCACAAGGGTGGAAATGATGAGCCATAGAAACTGAATCAAGAGAAAAAGAAAGAAGAAAAGAAGACAAAGATTTTTATAGGAAGCCACACAGTAAAATCACCTTTTATCAGAAACCCAGGATAGAATGTAGAGAGGCTGCAAAGGACATATTTTCTCTTTGGTTCTTTGATATCCTTTGTTAACCAAAAACTTTGAGGTTGAAGAAACACTATTTGCACAGAAATGGAAGCCCATTTATTTCAGCACCGCTTCCCTGCAGAGGCTCCTCATGCTGTCTCTGCTATATAGAGATGGTGCAGTACCAGCTCTTCATCTTGCCCAATATGAGGTGACTGGGCTTCGACCAGTCTCAGTGGCCACAGCTACCACCTCACTTAAATCCAGGTCCCAGAGATCTCAATGCCAGCAAAATCAGGAGTTAACTACAGTTTAGAGATCTATCTGTGGCCAATGCTACATAATAGTACCTCATAAAAACTGGAGTAGAAGAATTCATTCTTTTTATCTTGTGCAGCCAGACAACTGTGTTACCAGTTATGCTATGCTTACTGTAAAGCAGCAGTTCACAAATTTGATGAATGTATGAATCACTAGGGAGTCTGGAAAATGCAGGTCTTGAAGCCCAAACCCCAGAGAGTCCAACCCCTTAGAGTTTGATATGGGGCCCAGGAATGTACAGCTTTAAAAACTATCTCAGGTGGTTCTGATTCATACTTAGAGAAACACTGCTTTAAGAAATGTATACAGTTTTCCCTTTCCTTGGAAGCAAATGTTGCAAGGGGATGGGCGGAAGGGAAGAATACCAGTGAATTAGAGTTCAGTGAAGCTGAAGGTTCCTTTACAAGAGTGGTTTTCACACTTTAGCCTGTGTCAGAACCACCTGAAGGGCTTGTTAAGAAACAGATTTCTGGACCCCACCCCCCAAAGTTTCTGATTTGGAAGGTATGAGGCGGAGCCCCCAAATTTGCTTTCTAACAAGTACCCAGGTAGTTCTGAGGCTGCTGGTCCAAGGACTGCACTTAGAGAAACACGGGTTTACATTTAGGAGGGTATAATTACCTTTTCCCAATATGAAGGATTTCGCTTTATGTTCTATTATTTTTTCTAACAAATACCCAAGTATTGGGAGAGCAAATGATATTTGTTGAATCCCTACGATGTTTCTTTCTCTTTTAATTCTCAAAGAATCCCAGCAGGGTAGGTTCAGAGAGTTTATGTAATTTACTCAGACTCTCCCAACTGATAAATTGAATCAGCATTCAAGTAACAGTTCAAAGGACATGTCAGTCCCTTTCAAAATCGGAGTCTTGTAAGTCACCCCATCAGCAAAGTAAAACAGTAATTGCGAAGAATCCAGATCTTATTTCACTTGGTGCCAGTTATTGGCTGCTTTCAGAGTGGGCACAGAGCAACTGCACAACCGCAAGTGGACTGTAAGCACCGTGATTTTACAAGGGGGCAGCTTGCCTTTCTGCCAACAATCCCAGCCTGCTGAGAAGTGTTGTGCTAGGGAAAATCCTTTGGTCAAATAATCAAAAGACTTAGAAGTGAATCCTGGATCAGCCACTGTAGGTTAACTTTGGCAGGTTTATTGTATTCATAAAACTTGAAACCTAAGACTGTGCCACAGGCTTTAAAAAAAATCAATAAAAAACATTTAAAATAGGATCTTACCTAGTATCATACACCCCAGGTTTTTAAGATGTTAACAGATGTCAGATGAAATGGAATCTCAAGCTGCTCCATTAGGTATTTCTGGTGCTTTCTTTTTCTCACTACCCATAATTCTTAGTGTTTGAGTCATACATTTAGGCATGTTTGATTCCACTCAAATTAACATACTCTAATATTCAAGTTTACATATGTGAACATTTACTAGAGTGTGAGGCACACAGCAGGTGTATACCATCCTCTTTCTTTACATTATTAATATATACAGTAAAATAATTTCCATATTATTTAATGGCTTACAATATGGTAACTTTTTCTTCCAGGAATTACAAGTTCAACAAAGGTGAGGATATCATTACATACTTCATTTTAAATTCCTAATTTCACCTAGTGTAGGGCTGAACTCATAGTATGTATTCATTATCAGATTGCCTAAGTTTAATATATAAAGCTTTATAGGGAATCTGTATGTGTTGGGAGCATATATGTCAGTAAGATGCAAGAATAAATATCCTAGTAGGTCAAAATTGTGAAAAATGTGACCCCGCTTTGCATAGTCATGTAATTAGGAGAATTACAGAAATATAATTTTGATTTTATGATTAAAATTCAGTGCTTAGATTTATATATCCAGAAACTAAAAGTGGTTGGGATTTGAACATTAATATAATTTCTCAACTAGAAAACTTGTTTACAACAAAGTATACATTTACCAACTACAATCACACTTGGTAAATGTAAACAGAAACGCCATGTATATGTGAATATATAAATATATATAGTAAATATATATAGTATCTACAATGCTTGGTTTCTTCAAATACTCTGAACTGGATACACCATGCATGTATTGTGCCTAAGAAAAAGCAATAATATAATATTTATTAGAGTTCAGTAAATAATGTTATAATCCTGCTAACAAAGTTAGCAGTGGGACTTGAAACCAAACACTTTTGAGAATGATAAAGTTTAATGCGAATAGATTAGAACTTCAAGTATGCAGGCCAGCAATATAAACAAAAGGACTCAAAATAACAAGACCGCTAATTATGTATAAAGGCAGATGATATCACTAAGTATTACCTGCTCAAGATTCTCCATTTTCTATTTTCTTAAGTGAAAGTAAGCAATTTTTACTGAAACTTAAGTATTGAAATATACTAAAGGTGGCACTGTTGCTTCATGTTAACCAGAGGCCAAACTTCCTAAAATTTTATAATAGAAATAGCCTAGGTTGTACCATGTTTCAGGCCTTATATTTTATCATGAGTTATAAAGATGTAAAATTTTGAAAAAAATTAAATTATATATTTTAAAAAATTATATATTTTATTTCTCATAATAAATGTTTCAGGCCTTATATTTTATCATGAGTTATAAAGATGTAAAATTTTGAAAAAAATTAAATTATATATTTTAAAAAATTATATATTTTATTTCTCATATAAATCAAATCAGTAAATAGGGCAACATTTCCATTTAATCTACATAAAATTTTAAATTGGGTCATCAATGTACAAATAAAAAAACACTTGACCAATTTATGTTTGATATATTTATAATTGAAAAGCAAGCTAAGTGAATAATTTTAAGACATTAATAACTTAATTTCTCTAAAATATATCACACTCTTAAGGTTAAAGTTTGTAGGTTATGAGTTGTAAACATAATTGACAAGTGGAAGTGGGCATATTGATATGTTTTAATTTAAACAAATTGGCTAACTAAAAAAACATATTTATAAACATGAAATTAGAGAAGGATTATTCTGAATTCAAAAGCCACTTAACTTTCAAACAGATTGAAACATATTCTTTCAAATAGATAATTTTCCTGGTTCATTTTAAATACAATTCAATCCTGAATTGCTTTTCTACTTTCAGCAAAAAATGTATTAGGTGACACAAGGTGTCATTTAATTTTAGCAGCTGATCATTCACACATAAACTTGTCAAATGTGATGTCAAAAAAGAAGACATATAATTATTCCTAAAGACTTATTTTCTAGTTGGAATACACAATAATGATAAAGCTGTTTTCTGAAGTGCTACTAGGTTCTAGGAACTTTATATATATTATCTTGAATCTTCCAAACAACTTTGAAATAGAGGAGTTATTATATAATATAGGGGTTATTCTAATTTTGCAGGTGATAACCCAGTTTCAGGTAGTGGAATGTACAGTAGTTAGCCACTCTACTGTATTTCTCCACTTAATGTTAACTTCCTTTTAAAAACTTAATTCATATTATTAATTTTGTACCATAATCAAGATCTACATTTTACATTACTCTAGTTCATAAATTATACTACCGTGTTCCGTTACTGAAAATCCATCTGTGTCGGACAATTTGAACTTGAGTAACGTACATTACATTCCCAGGACTTATTTATCATGTAAATGGAAGTTTGTGCCTTTTGAGCACTTTTACTCAATTTCTATGTCCCGCAGCCACCTCTCTGGCAGCCACCAATCTGTTCAATGTTTCTATGAGTTCCATTATTTCAGATTCCACATGTAAGTGAGATCATACAGCATTTGTCTTCTCTGTCTGACTTATTTTCTCTTATCGTAATGTCCTCAAGCTTCATTCATGTTGTTGTGAAAGACAGGTTTTTCTTCTTTTTATGGCTGAATAATATTCCATTGTGCATACCTACCACAATTTCTTTACCCATTCATCAATCAATGGACACTTGGGCTGTTTGCATGTCTTGGCTATTGTAAATAATGCTGCAGTGAACATGTAGGTGCAGATATCTCTTGGAGATAATGTTTTCATTTCCTTAGGATATATATCCAGAAGTGGATTTGCTAGATCATATGGCAGTTATAGTTTTAATTTTTTGAGGAAACTTCATCCTCCATCCATAATGGCTGCACCAATATACATTTCTACTAACAGTGTACAAAGTGTTCCCCATTCTCCATATTCTCGCCAGTACCTGCTACCTCTTATCTTTTTGATAATAGCCATCCTAACAAATGTGAGGTAAAATCTCATTGTGGTTCTGAATTACATTTCCCTAATGTTTAGTGATGTTGAGCATCTTTTTGTGTGTCTGTTGGCCATCCGTATGTATTCCTTGGAAAAATGTCTATTCAGGTCCTCTGCCCATTTTTTAATTGGATTGTTTCTCCTTTTGATATTGAATTGTATGAATTCTTTATATATATTGGATATTAACCTTTTATCAGATATATGGTTTGCAAATATTTTTTCCCATTCCATAACTTGCTTTTAATTTTATTGATGGTTTCCTTTGCTGTGCAGAAGCTTTTTAGTTTGATGTAGTCCTACTTGTTTATTTTTGCTTTTGTTGCTTATACTTTTGGTATCGATACCAAAAAATTATCATTAAGACTGATGTCAAGGATTTTATCCCCTATGTTTTCTTCTAGTTTGTAGTTATATACAAATTTTAGGATTTTACTTTTTCTGTGAAAAATGCCACTGTAATTTTGATAGAGACGACATTGAATGTACACGTCTGTGGGTAGTACAAACATTAAAAAAATATATTGGATTAGAAGCCAGACCTTCAAGCAGTAGCTTTTAAAGTATGCAAATAGACCTTTCAGGGAAAAACTGGGAGATGGGCAGTTCTGTCTGCTGTCTCTGAACTGAGCCCTGGAGGCCAGAGCATCCTTGGAAGCCTACTAAGAACTATTTGCTATATAGTCTTATGGGTCTTGGTGGACAAAACCCCATTGGCCTTTAGAGCTAGGTGTTTTGGGTGCCAGTCACTCATGTGGAAATTTTAATAGCTGGAGCACTAGACGTTCAGTCCAAACCCTTTGCTTTGGGTGTTGTGAGTTCCCTTCCAATTGTATGTCACTATGCTGGGTGTGGGGTTTATGGCGAGAGTATATCTCAACCTTTACGATACGTTTTGGTGTGAGTTTTTCCATTTGCCTGATGTGTAGGAGGTAATCAGCTGTGTATCTGTTTCTATGGGAGGAGGTAAATTCAGGAGCATCCTATGTCACCATCTTAAACTAGAATTCAGTTTTCAACTCTTTTGTGTAAATACTAAAGAGCACAGTTACTGGTTACATAGTGTCAATGAAAAATTAATTAGTTGATCTAAGAAAGAAATGGAAAAGTTTTTCGAGTCAAATTGAGGATTATAACCCAGGAACAGCATTTCAGAAAGCTCTGAAAACTGTTCCACCCATTAGAAGTCAAGGCATAGTTATATAAGGTTTTTGAGACAGAGGGCTGTACATTAAATGATGAATTATTGACAGTTTACACAATCCAGATCTAAGTGTCATCTTGTCCCCTTACAAGATCAAGAAGGAATGTTATCCTTTAGGAGTTGTCTTGTTGATGCCAGGAGAATGTTGCTTTTTATGGTTGAGAAGTTATTTCTGCTGATGGGGGAGGTTTGGTAGATGATGTATAATGCAGATGCACAATGCACAGTAGTGGGGAGAGAGGAGACCAAAGGGCAGAGAACATTTTTTATGTTCACATATTTCTTGTCATGCCATACAATGTGAATTTTATTTCACAACAGTAAATGCATTTTTAGTTTCATAAGAAACCATGCACCTCATTGTTCACTGCAGCACTATTTACAATAGCCAGGTCATGGAAGCAACTTAAATGTCCATCGACAGATGAATGGTTAAAGAAGATGTGGCACATATATACAATGGAATATTACTCAACCATAAAAAAGAATGAAATAATGCCATTTGCAGTGACATGGATGGACCTAGATATTGTCATACTGAGTGAAGTAAGACAAAGATCATATGATATTGCTTATATGTGGAATCTAAAAAAATGATACAAATGAACCTATTTGCAAAACAGAAATAGAGTCACAGATATAGAAAACAAACTTATGGTTACCAAAGGGGAAAGGGGGTGGGGGTGGGGTAAATTGAGGGTTGGGAATTAACATATACACACTAGTATAGATAAAATAGATCATCAACAAAGACCTACCTACTGGATAGCACAGGGAACTCTACTCAAAACTCTGTAATGACCTATATGGGAATAGAATCTAAACAAGAGTGGATATATGTATATGTATAACATTCACTTTGCTGTACAGCAGAAACTAACACAACATTGTAAATCAACTATACTCCAATAAAAATTAATTAAAAGAAAAGAAACCTTGAAACTTGTCTTCCAACTTGGCTGTACCATTTTGTATTCCCGCTATCAATGTATGAGAATTCCTGTTGCTCTGTATCCTCACCAGCTTTTGGTGTTGTAGTATGCTCTTTTGTATTGTATAGTTTTATTTTAAAAATAATGTACATATGTTAATTTTTATGATTAGGCAATCTTGCTTAAAATTTGAAAAGAATATACATTGAAAATACTCATTCCTTCAGATTTAATTATTATACTGCATAATGTGATATAGTGCTTAGGAGTAGAGGCTATTTCAAATTTTTTTTTTAGTCTAAAGCATCAAACTATCATTTCCTTCTCAGGAATATTACGAGTAGTTTACATTTTAAAAAATAAACCTGAATCTTCTTTCAGTAGGAGATTCTCCTTCTTTTAAATATTTTTAAAAACTTATCTTTAAAGTTATACTTTCCCCAAAACTTGGACAAACATAATTTTATAACTAGAAAAGTTTCCTGTACCTTTGTTAGATAATCATCTAGTAATTTTTACTAACTGGACAAATTTGTTTAAACTAGCCCTAAACAATCATATATTTTTGGTTTTTATAAACCAAACAGCAAGATTTTGAAACATGTAATCAATTAACAGAACAGGAAATGCCACTGGATTAAAGTACAAATTGTAAGCAATAAGGTTTTAATAATTACATGATAAATTTATTGTTAAATATTTCTAGAAGATATAAAACACATGAATAACATTTAGGGTGACATACCTTTGTTATCATTTTTCTCTAAGTCTTTTTGTGCTTGAACAAACATCAGTTGACTTTCAGTGAGAGGCCAACTGTTATACAACACCAAACACTGTATAATATACTTGTATACCTAGGAAATAAAATGCAATAAACAATAAAAATAAACATAGGATTTTAGGCACATAATAAATGCATATTTTCTGGATCATATAATAATACTTTAATTAGATACTGTCAGATGTTCTCCAAAATTCTATAATACCACAGTCTATAAAAGTTTATCCTCACAACCCCACGAATACTTACCATCATATATTCTAGTATTTATAACTTTTGCATTCATGTTTATAAATGAAATTTACTTATTTTACTTTTGCTACTTATCAGTTTTGGAATCAGAATTACATTAATCTCTTAGAAAGGATTGGAAGGTTTGTATTTTTTTTCTGTTTTCTAGAACAATTTACTCCTCAAAAGTCTGTTAGATCTATCCTGTAAAGCAGTTAGGCCTATAGCTTTTTGGAAAGGTAAGACTTTGATTATCATTTCAGTTTTATTATTCTTATTTATTCTTATTATTTTATATTTTCTTTTTTTTTACTGGAGCAGGTATGCCATTCCTCCCCCAACTCCAGGAATTTTACATTTGAAACAATTTTTGTCAGTTTTAAATTGCTAGTATAGAGTTGTATATAATACTTAAACTTTTTTTAAAACCTGTTGTTTGCATTTATACCTCTATCCTAATTTTTTGTTCTGTATTTGATTTATTTATATTTTCTTTCTTTTTTTCTTACTTGATTAGTCTTACAAGAAGCATGTTTACTTCATTAATCATAAGAAAGCATAGGTTTTATTAATTTTCCTAAATTTTATTCCCCATTTCATTAATTTCTACTCTCATTTTTATTAAAACTTTTTCTTATTTTTGAGTTATTCTTTTACTCTTTTTCTAACCTTGATCTCATGGTGAGATCAACAAACCTTTTGTTTTAATAGCTTAGTTCATTTGTTTAATCATTCATACTTTCTGACGAATTAATTTGAAAGTCAACATTCCACTGAATGCTACTTTAGATGTGGCTTACAAATTTTGATTTGTAGTTTTTTATTTTTATGGAGTCCTTTGTATTTAATAGTTTCTTTTTTAATGATTTTTTTAAACTAAAGAATTATTTAGTATATTTCACTGTGTTTTCACATTTATGGGATTTTAAGCAGTTAATTACTAATTACTGTTGCATTATGTTCAGATAACATTTACACAGTATAGTTTGGTTTTTATTGAGGCTTCCTGTGTGTTCTATGAAAAAGCATATTCTCTTTTATTAGGTGGAGTGTTCTATATAGATATCTAAAAGATTAAGCTTCTACTTAATACTTCATATCCTAATGATCAAATATATTGTTTTTCAGCTTGATCTACTTGTTTCTGAAAGATATGTGTTAAAATATTCAACTCAATTGTTAACTTATTTTTCTCTACAGCTCTAATAGTTTTGCTTTTTATTTATTGAGTCTAGGCAGTGAGGTGCCTATATGTCAGTTATGGTCATACTGCTTTATTTTTCCTTTTATTTTTATATAATATCCCCCATGAATCCTATGTATTGAGATATTAAAATATCATCACAGCTCTCTTTTGGTTGAAGTTTTAAACTTTCTGTGCTATTTTGTTTAAAAGTGTCACCTTTAGACTACTTACAGTTGGATCTTATTTTTTATCTAACGTTAAAATTTTATCCTTCTAATTGATTAATAATCCATTTGCATTTATTTTAATTACTGCCATATTAGGATTTATTTTTGGCATTTTGTTTTTATTTCTTTTAATTAGTTAATTTATTTTCTTGGTTTTCAATGGATAAATCATGTTTTCTTTTGCTGCCTTAAATTATATGCATTGTCCTTTATTTCTTCAATTTAAGGCACATGCAAATATGTTTTTCTTAATATATGAACTTTTCCAAAGTCTCATAACCACTAACTCATATATAATGTAAGATAATAACATCTACATTATAGGGTTAGTGTAAAAATTAAATTTGCCACATATTTTAAAATCTTGGCACAGAGAAAATTTTCAATAATTCTTCAATTCTGGTTATACACTAGTGGCACTACTTATAAAAAGTATTATACATGAACAATTTTTAGGAAAATAATTGTTGCAATTTACGTTAAATTTTTATGAGCAGTACCATTAAATAATTCTTTTAAATGTAAATTACCTGCTGTGGTGTGCTAGCATTTTCTTCTGTAGTGGGTACAGAGATAGTTTCCTCATCCAAAATAGGCTGACCAGTGTCTACTATTGCACTTCCAGGTCTTTTATAGGATTTATGACCTCCTGGGACAGATTTCTTCTTAACGTAAAATTCTTGCTCTTTCTTGAATGAAGCATGAGTTGAAAGAACTTGCTTGCTAGCTGAATATGAGAAATATTAGGATTAAGTTAAGATATGTGGAATGCATAGTTATTACTGACTGTGTTATTTAGTTATATCCTTATAGAACACTCAAAGGGACAGGTCAATTTGTTTTGTTTTAATGAGATAAAAACCAACATCACTGGCTTCTTGAAAATATTCTGGTCTTAAAGAAACTTAGTGTAATGGTATATGACTTGCATAGAGCAATGCATATTCTGAGCCACCACTGATTGATAAAAGATTATACAACAATTCAACAATTTCTCATTCATTCTGTGCCTCTCGAATGACAATAAACTAATACCACACACTCTGACTTCTTCAGCGTTTAATACTATGTGTGTGTATGTTACTGTAATTTTTAATTTTTACAGTCATTATTTCTTAATTAACAGATACTATAAATACCATTGGAAGGGATACAAATAGATATGTGCTGGATGTTAATTAATTCATCAAACATGTATTGAGGAAACGTAAGTGAAGCTCACAGGGAAATTCGGATTCCAACCATGACAGAATAATGGGCATTGGATTTATTTTTATACCATAAAAATGATAAATTTGGACAAAATGCATAAAACAACTGCTTTAAGCCGGAGGACAATAGACAGCCCAGGACTGTGATCCTTGAGAGAAGGGCAATATTCAAGATGATCTCTCCACTTTCCCACATTTCTGCCCGTGAAGATCTTCTCACCCATGGCACAGGGAAATAGAGTTCAAACAGTGAACAGCTGTGTTGTCAGATTTAGGAAGCAAAGATTGGAATTTGAGGCTCCTGAGACAATTAGAATTTGTGAGGCAGGGTACCAGAAAGCAGGCATCGGAGCAGCAAAGGAACTCACAAATATGCATAGGGGTCTACTTGAGTCTTTAGCTGAATTTTAAACTTCGTTTGTACAAATACCTAACGATGCCTGGTAGACATTACTGGAAGATTGTGAGTTTAATGGAGATTCTGAAGGTTGCAGTGTTGAGTTGAGAGACATTGGAGTTCTGCCAAAATGAAGAAAATTTAATGAAAACACAGAGCATTCAGCTGAAACTCAAGAAAGGGTATTCTTTAGAGCTACCCTAGCCCTGGAGTAATGGAAACTCTAGACCTGACTTAAGAAAGCTTAGAACAAAGTTTTGATAGGATTAAGCTAAACTGTCAGTAAACTGTCTGCCAGAACAAAATTCAACACTCTTTTGATGAAGACAGCATAATCTAGAGTCTTGGTAACGTAGCAAATACAATGGACAGTGCACAATGTAACCAATAGAAAAAAGTCAATAGAAATACCCTTAGAGCTGACACAGATGTTGGACTTAGCAAACAAGGACTTTAAAATAGTGATTAAAAATGTGTTTAAGGATTTAAGGGAAAAGGTTGACATAATGAAAGAACAAATGGTGAATATTAACAGAGAAATGAACTATATAAAAAATAAAAAGAAATTCTAGAGTTGACTATAACTGAAATGAGACATTCCTGGATGGACTTAAACATTGTCAAATTTAGAAGAAAAGATTAGTAAACTTGAAAAAAAGCAACAGAGATGATCTAAATGGAAGCAAAGAATAAAGAAAAAAAACTGAACAGAGGCTAAGTGACCCATGGTACAATGCTGTAGTGGGTGGAATAGTGACCCCCCCCCCCAAAGACATATGTCCACCTAGAACCTCAGTATGTAACCTCATTTGACAAAAGGGTGTTTGCAGCTATAATTAAGGTAAGGATTCCACCATGATATCAACCTGGATTAAAGAGGACCCTAGATCCTATGATGAGCATCCTTAAAAGAGAAAAGGAGAAGACACAGATACACAGAATGAAAGTCATGTGAAGACAGGGGCAGACATTGGCACAGATATGCTCTCACAAGCCAAGAAATGCCAGGAGCCAACAATGGTTAGAAGAGGCAAGGAAGGATTCTCTCATAGAGGCTTTGATGGAGATATGGCTCTGATAACACCTTGATTTTGGACTTCTGCCTTCCAGAACTGTGAGAGAATACATCTTTGTTGTTTCAAGCCACCCAGTGTGTGGTAAATTGCTACAGCAGCCCTAGTAAATGAATATAGCTATCAAATGATAAAATTTATGTGTATTCTTAGTCCTAAATGGACTCAATTCTCCGCTCCTCCAAATTCTTATTTCATATTGAAAAGGAATATCCTTGGGCTGCAATGACAACTCAAACACTGTTTCCAGGGTCAATAAGAGAGAAGAAAAAGAGCCCTGCCTTGTTTGCATTTATTTTAGAAAGGAAAAAAAGGAAAAGTATCAATATTAGACAGAAAATAGGTAAAAGACAGTTCTTTTTAGTAATTTGCTTATATACTTGAGATAATCAGCATAAACAATATTGGGAAAAATGAGAGATCAGGAAGAGTACCGGCCACCAAATAGTTAGGTAAAGGTCAGCTAGAAGATATAATAAATTTTAAAACAAAACATGACAGAATTCAGAAAAAGCATATTTATCAAAATAAATGTAAATGGAGGGGCTTCCCTGGTGGCGCAGTTGTTGAGAATCTGCCTGCTAATGCAGGGGACATGGGTTCGAGCCCTGGTCTGGGAGGATCCCATATGCCACAGAGCAACTAGGCCTGTGAGCCACAACTACTGAGCCTGCGCGTCTGGAGCCTGTGCTCCACAACAAGAGAGGCCGCGATAGAGGCCCGTGCACTGCGATGAAGAATGGCCTCCGCTTGCCACAACTAGAGAAAGCCCTTGCACAGAAACGAAGACCCAACACAGCAAAAAACTCCTACCCCCAACATCTTCTAAAAAAAAAAAAAAAAGAGAAAAATGTAAATGGATTATATTACTCTATTTCAGAGACTAGAGTCTTTGATTGAGTGGAAAAAAATACCCATTTATAAGAGAAAGGTTGAAAAACTAAATGTATGAACCAAAATGAACATGCAAATGATAACAAATGGAAGAACAAGTGTTAATGTCAGACAATCTATTAAAGTTGAAAAAAGACTGCTTTACATTCATTTTAAAAATACAACATATCAATAAATATAAAGCAAATGTAGAACTTTATGCAACTAGCAATGTAATATAGAAATATGTAAAATGAAAAATATTAGAGATAGATTTTTAATTTTTCAGAAATTTACAAGCCAATAAGATGAAACGTAAATGACAATTTAAATTTTTAGATATTTCAGCTACCAAGTTTTATTTTATATATATATGTACATATATAAGTGTACAGAGAGTGTGTGTGTGTGTATTTAGACATCAAATTATTTACCTTCAAAATAGAGCATGTGTTCTTTATAAACCTAAGTGTAACACTAACCAAAACTGATTTGAATTACACCACAGTAAAAACATCTACGCAATCCTCAAAATAGAAAATATACAGCCACACTTTCTAACTCCAAAAAATTAATTAAGATGTTAACAAGAAAAGACTAGCCAAAAGAGTTATTTGGAAATTGTAAAAATATTATAAATGTTAAAAGTTAAAGAGAAAATATGATCTAACAAACTAAATAAAACAGTATATTCTAAACATAGGAATTTATTAAAATATTATAGACAAATACGTTTTATTTCAAGAATGATTCCAAATTAAAAATTAATTTATGAAATTCAAAGGGATAACATTTGATGATTTCTATAAACAACAATAAAGTAATTAATAAAGTTCCAAACCCATCCCATGTTAAAATTCTAAGCTGTCAGTAGAAAAACTTTCTTAAATGTTAAAAAGGGCAATTATTAGAAGTCAACAACAAACATAATACTTAAATGTTATAAGCCTTTCTATTTAAGAAAAGGAAATATATCATCATCACTCTTATTTAACATAGGTTTGGAGATTCCCAACCAATGCCAAATAAAAAGTTAGACTTTTAAGAAGAAATACCCGTTACCAAAATTGGTAAAATCATAGTTTTGTTTAAAATGAGAATGCAAAAATAGACAATGGAGGCATAAAAGCTAAAATACTAACAGTATTTTTTCTGCATGATTACAAGGGATTTCTTGTTGCATTGTTCAAATTTTCTATATTTCAAATTTTCTACATTGGACATGTGTTATTTTTATACTCAGAATCAAGTTCTTAAAATAACTGAATAGGGCTTCCCTGGTGGCACAGTGTTTAAGACTCCACCTGCCGATGCAGGGGACACGGGTTCGTGCCCTGGGCAGGGAAGATCCCACATGCTGCAGAGTGGCTGTGCCCGTGAGCCATGGCCGCTGAGCCTGCGTGTCTGGAGCCTGTGCTCCGCAACGGGAGAGGCCACAACAGTGAGAGGCCTATGTACCATAAAAACAAAAAACTGAATATATCTCAGAGTATCACTGTTGTCCATTATTTCAGAAATAATTTGTTTATTAAAGCTCCTGTGTAGCCAGACTCATCAAGAAAAAAAGGGAGAAGACTCAAATCAATAGAATTAGAAATGAAAAAAGGAGAAGTAACAACTGACACTGCAGAAATACAAAAGATCATGACAGGTTACTACAAGCAACTCTATGCCAAAAAAATGGACAACCTGGAAGAAATGGACAAATTCTTAGAAATGCACAACCTGCCAAGACTGAATCAGGAAGAAATAGGAAATATGAACAGACCAATCACAAGCATTGAAATTGAAACTGTGATTAAAAATCTTCCAACAAACAAAAGCCCAGGACCAGATGGCTTCACAGGTGAATTCTATCAAACATTTAGAGAAGAGCTAACACCTATCCTTCTCAAACTCTTCCAAAATATAGCAGAGGGAGGAACACTCCCAAATTCATTCTACGAGGCCACCATCACCTTGATATCAAAACCAGACAAGGATGTCACAAAGAAAGAAAACTACAGGCCAATATCACTGATGAACATAGATGCAAAAATCCTCAACAAAATACTAGCAAACAGAATCCAAGAGCACATTAAAAGGATCATACACCATGATCAAGTGGGGTTTATTCCAGGAATGCAAGGATTCTTCAATATACGCAAATCAATCAATGTGATAAACCATATTAACAAATTGAAGGAGAAAAACCATATGATCATCTCAATAGATGCAGAGAAAGCTTTTGACAAAATTCAATACCCATTTATGATAAAAACCCTGCAGAAAGTAGGCATAGAGGGAACTTTCCTCAACATAATAAAGGCCATATATGACAAACCCACAGCCAACATCATCCTCAATGGTGAAAAACTGAAAGCATTTCCACTAAGATCAGGAACAAGACAAGGTTGCCCACTCTCACCACTCTTATTCAACATAGTATTGGAAGTTTTAGCCACAGCAATCAGAGAAGAAAAGGAAATAAAAGGAATCCAAATCGGAAAAGAAGAAGTAAAGCTGTCACTGTTTGCAGATGACATATGATACTATACATAGAGAATCCTAAAGATGTGACAAGAAAACTACTACAGCTAAAATGAACTTGGTAAAGTAGCAGGATACAAAATTAATACACAGAAATCTCTGGCATTCCTATACACTAATGATGAAAAATCTGAAAGTGAAATCAAGAAAACACTCCCATTTACCATTGCAACAAAAAGAATAAAATATCTAGGTATAAACCTACCTAAGGAGACAAAAGACCTGTATGCAGAAAATTATAAGACACTGATGAAAGAAATTAAAGATGATACAAATAGGTGGAGAGATACACCATGTTCTTGCATTGGAAGAATCAACATTGTGAAAATGACTCTATTACCCAAAGCAATCTACAGATTCAATGCAATCCTTATCAAACTACCACTGGCATTTTTCACAGAACTAAAAAAAAAATTTCACAATTTGTGTGGAAACACAAAAGACCCCGAATAGCCAAAGCAATCTTGAGAACGAAAAACGGAGCTGGAGGAATCAGGCTCCCTGACTTCAGACTATACTACAAAGCTACAGTAATCAAGACAGTGTGGTACTGGCACAAAAACAGAAAGATAGATCAATGGAACAGGATAGAAAGCCCAGAGATAAACCCATGTACATATGGTCACCTTATCTTTGATAAAAGAGGCAGGAATATACAGTGGAGAAAGGACAGCCTCTTCAAAAAGTGGTGCTGGGAAAACTGGACAGGTACATGTAAAAGTATGAGATTGGATCATTCCCTAACACCATACACAAAACTAAGCTCAAAATGGATTAAAGACCTAAATGTAAGGCCAGAAAATATCAAACTCTTAGAGGAAAACATAGGCAGAACACTCTATGACATAAATCACAGCAAGATCCTTTTTGACCCACCTCCCAGAGAAATGGAAATAAAAACAAAAATAAACAAATGGGACCTAATGAAACTCAAAAGCTTTTGCACAGCAAAGGAAACCATAAACAAGACCAAAAGACAACCCTCAGAATGGGAGAAAATATTTGCAAATGAAGCAACTGACAAAGGATTAATTTCCAAAATTTACAAGCAGCTCTTGCAGCTCAATAACAAAAAAACAAACAACCCAATCCAAAAATGGGCAGAAGACCTAAATAGACATTTCTTCAAAGAAGATATACAGACTGCCAACAAACACATGAAAGAATGCTCAACATCATTAATCATTAGAGAAATGCAAATCAAAACTACAATGAGATATCATCTCACAATAGTCAGAATAGCCATCATCAAAAAATCTAGAAACAATAAATGCTGGAGAGGGTGTTGAGAAAAGGGAACACTCTTGCACTGCTGGTGGGAATGTGAATTGGTACAGCCACTATGGAGAACAGTATGGAGGTTCCTTAAAAAACTACAAATAGAACTACCATATGACCCAGCAATCCCACTACTGGGCATATACCCTGAGAAAACCATAATTCAAAAATAGTCATGTACCAAAATGTTCATTGCAGCTCTATTTACAATAGCCCGGAGATGGAAACAACCTAAGTGCCCATCATCGGATGAATGGATAAAGAAGATGTGGCACATATATACAATGGAATATTACTCAGCCATAAAAAGAAACGAAATTGAGCTATTTGTAATGAGGTGGATAGACCTAGAGTCTGTCATACAGAGTGAAGTAAGTCAGAAAGAGAAAGACAAATACTGGATGCTAACACATATATATGGAATTTAAGAAAAAAAAAATGTCATGAAGAACCTAGGGGTAAGACAGGACTAAGGACACAGACCTACTAGAGCATGGACTTGAGGATATGGGGGGGCGGGAAGGGTGAGCTGTGACAAAGCAAGAGAGAAGCCTGGACATATATACACTACCAAACGTAAGGTAGATAGCTAGTGGGAAGCAGCCGCATAGCACAGGGAGATCAGCTCGGTGCTTTGTGACCGCCTGGAGGGGTGGGATGGGGGGGTGGGAGGGAGGGAGACGCAAGAGAGAAGAGATATGGGAACATATGTATATGTATAACTGATTCACTTTGTTATAAAGCAGAAACGAACACACCATTGTGAAGCAATTATACCGCCATTAAAAAAAAAAAAGCTCCTGTGACTATTACATTGCAAGTAATAACTTCAAAGTTTCTGTTAATTTTAATAAGTAGAATATTTTCTAAAAATAATTAATTGGGAATAAAAGTAAAAAATGTTTTCAAAGTAATAAAAATCTATTTCTTATTCAGAAGTCTAAGAAGGTTCAGGTAATAATTTTTAAAGCACAGTTATAACAAATCTATTGATCTTCAGAGACTAATTTGGCACACAAAAGCAATAGTTTTTAAAAAATATTTCCCATTATATCAAATTTTAGCAATTAAATGTTTACTTGCTATTTTATCTTAAAACATTTAGAAAATTAGTTACATAAACATAAATATCTGTTTATGAATCTAAATAACCAATTCTAAAAGCCACACTTACACTGGGAGCTCAAGGCTTTCTCATTCCCCAAGAGGTTAATTGCTGGAATGATAACTTGGCCCTTCCCAGTGGAGCTCACGATAACTTCTTCATTTTCTAGGATCTGTAGCTTGATGAATGCATCTGGTTTGGATGTGCGTACCTGTATTGTAACAGGATGTGGTAATACAACTTTAACTGAATACCTATAAAGAAAAACATTCACTTTTATAAACAAGTATGCTGGTCTTTCCTTCAAATAGCTAAAAGAAACTGTATCATTTTCTGATATGATAATCTACAAGTAAAACCACTTTATAAAGTCAGTTAAAATCCTGGAAATATTAGTGCTATTATAGACTTTGGCAAAAGATCCCAGTATGCTGTGGTAAAATGAAGTTAAATATCGGATGTTTATTATCATCATATCCCAAACAGGAAATGTAACGTTTTATTTAGATATAATAAGCATTCACTTATAAAACTTGATAGACTGCAAACTACTGCCACATCAAACCTTTCCATTACGCCCTCCTCTCTAGTGGGACAAAAAGCACAACCGGCAGTAGCTTTCAAAACCTCACTGTTAACAGCGTTTGTTAAATACTGTTAACAGTATTTTCTTTCACAAAAATACAGAGAAGTCAGAAGTAGTACCTGTCGCTTGTGCTCTCACCCTTTAACCAAGCCGGTTGGGAACCTCTTACAAAAAAGACTGGAAATGTGCAGTCTAATTCCTTCCCAACTCCTCCCTTAATGCAGTCTAAGAGGTTTCTTGTTTTGTTGAGGTTCTTTCCTACTTTAGGTGAATCTTTGCAAATGTTCAGGACCCTATAAACTTTCAATTTCTCTAGAAACTTGCTTTTCTATCTTCTCTCTTCCTTATCTTAAATTTCCCCACTTTATTTCTCCTTGATATTGGCTTTTGTACCTGTGCAGTTCTCACCCACTGAAAGACAGATCAAAACAAAACAAAAAACAAACCAAAAAAAAAAAATCTTCAATCAGCCCTGTTGACCAGTCTCGGCTCTATTTTATTCCCCAGCTAACAATCTAAGGAGAGTTGTCAACTTCCACTGTCCTTGGCTCATCACCTCCCACTCGCTCACAGCGCTCCACTCTGCCCCCAACCAAGGTGCTAAACTTGCTCTTGCCATGGTGTCAAGCACCTTGTCACCACCCTATAGAAACCTCAGTTCTCATCTTCCTGAACTGTTAGGAGAATCTGACAAAGTCGAATCAACCCTCATTTTCTCTTTCTTCAAAAACTTTTCTCCATGAGCATAATAACTTTTGTACCTCCTATTTCAGAGGTGCTACTTTTAGACTTCTCTCACACTGACATTCACTGATACATATCAGAGAATCTTAATATTCTGTCCTGGATCTGACTCTCTTTGTACAAACTTTCCTGGGCACTTCATGGGCAGAAACAGCATAATGAGTTCCAAATCTGTGTCTCCAGCCCGACTCCCCTATGCAGTATCCCTTGGACATTTCACTGGCCTACCATGTTTAACACCTAAAAATGACTTAGGACTTCCTTGGTGGCACAGTGGTTAAGAATCCGCCTGCCAATGCAGGGGACACGGGTTCGACCCCTGGTCCGGGAAGATCCCACATGCCACAGAGCAGCTAAGCCCGTGCACCACAACTACTGAAGCCTGCGCACTCTAGGGTCCTCTTGCTGCAACTACTGAGCTTATGTGCTGCAACTACTGAAGCCTGTGTGCCTAGAGCCTGTGCTCTGCAACAAGAGAAGCCACCTCAATGAGAAGCCCGCACACTGGAACGAAGAGTAGCCCCCGCTCACCGCAAATAGAGAAAGCCCGCATGCAGCAAGGAAGGCTCAGTGCAGCCAAAAAAATTTTAAAAAAAGAAAAAAAGAATTTATTGTCTTTCTGTTGCCCAACCAGCCAATGGGGTTCTCTTCCTGTAACCTCTAACTAAGTAAATGACACTTACTGTCCAACAGTTCCCCAAGTCAAACCCCAATCAACCAACGCTCTCAATTTTACTTCCTTGGTACCTTAAAATCCTTTCTCGTTCCTCTAGATTCATTGTCACTGCCTGTTATGGGTTAAATTGTGTCCCCCTCAAAAACATGCTGGAGTCCTAACCCCCAGCCCCTCACAATGTCACCATTCTTAGAGAGATTATCTCCCAGAGATAATCAAGTTAAAATGAGGTCCTTATGAAAAGGGGAAGTTTGGAGACAGAGAGACACAGGGAGAATGGTGCGTGAAGAGGAACAGAAAGACCAGGGTGATAAATCTATGAGTCAAAGAATGCCAATGACTAGAACCCCCTAGAAGCTAGCAGAAAGCATGGAGTATCTTCTCCCTCTCAGCCCTCAGTAGGAATCAGTCCAGCTGGCACTTTGATCTCAGACTTGTGGCAGTCAGGATTTCTGTTGTGTAAGCTACCTACGTTGCCAGTTTGTGGGCCTTTGTTATGGCAGCCTTGGTAAACAAATACACTGACTTATTTCACTTGCCATGATCACACACCTGGGTTATTCTGCAACTTCTACGTGGCTGGTTTCCCTGTCTCCAGTTATGTTTCCCTTCATCCATACAACACACTGCAGTCTTCCGAGTGAGCTTTTTTTCCTTTTTTTTTCATGTTTTGTACCTTTTATGATTACATATAATTTCATAACAATAAGGTTCTAACATTTTTTCTGTTCTTAGAAATTATATTTAGAGTACTTTTTCAATTCATAGTTGCAGACATAATGTTTTAACACAGTCTATTAATGCCATTTTGCTTAAAATCCTCCAAAGCATCTCAGTGCCTCTATGGTAAAATCTGAATCTCTTCTTGCCTTGAGGCCCTTCAGGAAAGGGCCCTGCCAACCTCTGGATCTTACTTCTTGCTATAGCACCCTAGAACCCCATTTTGCAAACAAAACAAAGATCATACTGAAAAGGTCATATTCTCTCTAATTTCTGAATTTTTACATGTGCTAGTCAAGCAGTTCTCTCCTCACCTTCCTCTCAACTCATCCTGACAGATTTAGGACCAGCTGCTATGACTAATTTAGGTATTGGGTTCAATATCACTGAGTCTAATACTGGCCCTGCTGTGTGATACAATGGTTTCCTATCATAGTAGTTAAAATACTTTATCACAATTGTTATTTTTAGTTACTGGCACATTTCCTTCCTTCTCTCCTTTTTTTTTTTTTTTTTTGCTTTCTTCTAATAGGCAGTATGCAGATATATTACAAGAAGCAGATAGATTAAAAAGAGAATTCTTCAACCCTTTTATTGCCCTCAGTTTATGTGCTTTTGTTTAGTATTTTCTCTAAAATTTTACCTGTATATAAAATATATAAACAACTATAAACATAAGAAAATATACTTGGAACACCATACACAAAGATAAACTCAAAATGGATTAAAGACCTAAATGTAAGGCCAGACACTATCAAACTCTTAGAGGAAAACATAGGCAGAACACTCTATGACATAAATCACAGCACGATCCTTTTTGACCCACCTCCTAGAGAAATGGAAATAAAAACAAAAATAAACAAATGGGACCTAATGAAACTTCAAAGCTTTTGCACAGCAAAGGAAACCATAAACAAGACCAAAAGACAACCCTCAGAATGGGAGAAAATATTTGCAAATGAAGCAACTGACAAAGGATTAATCTCCAAAATTTACAAGCAGCTCATGCAGCTCAATATCAAAAAAAACAAACAACCCAATCCAAAAATGGGCAGAAGACCTCAATAGACACTTCTCCAAAGAAGATATATAGATTGCCAACAAACACATGAAAGAATGCTCAACATCACTAATCAGTAGAGAAATGCAAATCAAAACTACAATGAGATATCATCTCACACCGCTCAGAATGGCCATCATCAAAAAATCTAGAAACAATAAATGCTGGAGAGGGTGTGGAAAAAAGGGAACCCTCTTGCACTGTTGGTGGGAATGTAAATTGATACAGCCACTATGGAGAACAGTATGGAGTTTCCTTAAAAAACTAAAAATAGAACTACCATATGACCCAGCAATCCCACTACTGGGCATATACCCTGAGAAAACCATAATTCAAAAATAGTCATGTACCAAAATGTTCATTGCAGCTCTATTTACAATAGCCAGACATGGAAGCAACCTAAGTGTCCATCAACAGATGAGTGGATAAAGAAGATGTGGCACATATATACAATGGAATATTACTCAGCCATAAAAAGAAATGAAATTGAGTTATTTGTAGTGCAGTAGATGGACGTAGAGTCTGTCATACAGAGTCAGAAAGAAAAAAACAAATACCGTATACTAACACATATATATGGAATCTAAGAAAAAAAATGTCATGAAGAACCTAGGGGCAAGACGGGAATAAAGACACAGACCTACTAGAGAATGGACTTGAGGATATGGGGAGGGGGAAGGGTAAGCTGTGACAAAGTGAGAGAATGGCATGGACATATATACACTACCAAATGTAAAATAGCTAGTGGGAAGCAGCCGCATAGCACAGGGAGGTCTGCTCAGTGCGTTGTGACCACCTAGAGGGGTGGCATAAGGAGGGTGGGAGGGAGGGAGACGCAAGAGGGAAGAGATATGGGAACATATATATATAACTGATTCACTTTGTTATAAAGCAGAAACTAACACACCATTGTAAAGCAATTATACTCCAATAAAGATATTAGGAAAAAAAAGAAAATATACTTGGGATATACTGTATATATTGTTCTGTAATTTAGTTTTGTTGTTGATTATCTTTCTTTGCAAAAAATGTGAGCATGTTTGTTAAAGGGATAAAGGTTTTAAGGAGCAAATAAATATTAATTATAGAGAAAAATCAGCCAGAATACAATGAATTATTATTTGTGCCTATACTGTCAAAAAGACTTGGGTTTTACTTTTGAAAACCAATTTACCAATATGTATGGTTTCTTTAAAATATTTAATCTCCTTAAAACAATAAATCTTTAGACAATAATCAGAAATTTTCTTTAATATTTACAATAAAATATGCCCATCATATCTCTATTAATACTATAGAAAAAGTAGAAAAGGAAATTTGTAACAACAGGGAATAACCAATAACCAAAAAACTTGTATATTCATATGAATAATTATTAGATAATCATGAAAAAGAGTTCACAAAATGTCTTAATGGTATTGGGAAATGTTAACACTATAATGTTAAGTAAAAAGTCAGATTATAAAACTTTAATTATGTTATGATTTTAATAATGTTAAACTGTGAATAGAAAAAACATTCTAAGAAAATACAATAGAATACTAACAATGATAGTTTCTAGGTTATGTGTGATTTTTATTTCCTTAATAACATATTTGCCAAACTTTCTGCATAGAAAAAATATATGAAAAGAGAAGACAAGTATTCTAACAACTCATTTAATGAACATTTAACAATATTTAATGAAGGCGAACTACGTGTCAGGCATATATCAATACGTCCTGTATTGATAAGACATGGTTCCTGCCTCCAATAAATGTTAATTCTCATGGAGGTGGATGTGAAATTAACCAGATAAAATTTGATATGTCACATTCTTAGAAAGAACCAAAGACTATAGAAACACGACCAGGACTAACTAGTTATATTTGGAGGTTTGGGTATAAAAGATTTGACTCTTGAAACTGATCCTTAAAAGTGATAAATTTTGCTAGGTGGAAAAATGGAGACAGAATATAACAAGATAAGAGGAAAGGCATGGGCAAGATAAAATCACATCACAAATATGTCAGGAGTTGGTCCATAGCTCCATCAAGAGAGTGCACAGTGTGTTGGGAGGCTAGGCAGGAGTGTTTGTGGTTTGGATTTTACTTTACAGCCAATGGAAATTTGTCCAAAATTTTAAAGACGGGAAATCACATATTTAAATGTGTTTGTTAGAAAGATAACTACTCTGGTAGTAAAGGATGGATATGTAAATGAATAAGGTGAGAGAGACAGAGAAATAGTTAAAAATGAAGAGTGAATATAATGGAGACATGGACACAGCATTTTTATAGACAAAATATAATGAGGCCCTGAAGTAGTGGAGGACATTGAGAATAAAGAGGAGGGCATAGAGATGAGAGGTATGAGGGAATGAGAATCAGAAGGGCTGATTAATGAAAGAGAGTGGAGTCCATGATGAGGCTATTTATGGAGAATATATAAATATGTATGAAAAGAAGGATGAGTTGGCAGATAAGGAGAAACCTACACAAGAGAAGAGTTAGAGATGGAACAGAATGAGGAGAGAGTAAAAAGAGGGAAGAGTGTTAGGATGTTCAATGAAAGTCAAATACGATGAGGACTAAGAAACCATTATGTGCAACATAGGCTTGATCTTATATAACATTTATATAATCACATTACTCTCTGTGTTGTTTCCAAAAGAGTATAAAAGTGAAGTTCAAAATTCACCCAGGATTTTACAGAAAATTTATTGATTTTGGTAATATTAATATTTAAAATAAAATATTTAAATTTAAAATCAATTATTTAATACAAAAATTATTAATATTTTCAAAGGAATGCATTTCCTTTCTGTCACATACCTGAATACAATTTTCTTATCATTGGGTATGTAGTAATCTCTGATTTCCTTTATGGTAAAGGTATTACATGGAGGATCTCGAGACAGACATGGGAGTGGATGATAAGAACCAATGAGGCGCATTTTCCATCGTGAGGATGTTACATACACATCACCAGTATATGCTTCAGCCACGAATGTATATCCTTTCTACAGGAAAAAAGAATTACACAGAAGTAAGTGACATTGTCACTAGTCTCTCAAAGGTACAATAGATGATTTCACAGTATTAAAAGTCTTTATTATCTTAATATACATAAAGATCCTAAAATCTATTGATAATCAACAAATCACTAGCATGTTTTGAAATCCCTCTCAAAAATTGCTATCTTACATGTTTTTGGAGAAAATGGAAAACTCCAACACTTTTGTTTGTATGGTTCCCTAGCTACAAAAAAAAAAGTGCTTAACTGTGGTAGATGATTACTACATTTCCTGCTAATTCTCCTAATGCTTCCTAAGGCAGATTTTTATCATTATATCATCCTGGATTAGCCCAATAGCTTCCTACTTGATTTCCCTGTCTTCTCAGTATCATCTTTCTAAATATGAGATGAAAAAGGCAGAAGAGTTTATGGAAATGTAGTGCCCTTAGGATGACCATTAGCAGGTAAAGCTATCAAATTAGCAGCAGATCTGGTTCCATGGAACCCAGATGTGAGCCTGGAGATGAGCTCTTTAGGTTGGAGAAAAGAAGCAGTTAAGGAACCTGGGAAAGTGCTAACAGACAAAAGTTCAAAGTAATTCTGAGTTTATAATTCCATACATTTCTAACAAGACAGAAGAATATAGATTTGTATTCCAGTTGCTCTCTGATGCAGAGGAAGCTCTCCAATGTGTCTAGATTTTTAGGAACAAAAATTAGAGATACACAAGACAGAATGAATTCATAACATTGCAAAAAACACCTAGGAATGTTAACCAAAATTCCAAAACCTGTAATAAGATCAGAATTGCAACACCCATGAGGACCTTTGACATTACGTTTGGGGCAAGAAGAAAAGGAAGATAAATCATGTATGCTAAAGTGTTTTTATCAGGAAAGTGCAGATTTATTGCTGTTTTTGTTATTATTTGGGCTTGTGGTAGTAATCTATTAAAGAAGCAAAATAAAATTACATGACTCTGATTTTGTGTTTGTCTAGACTCAGAGAACAGTTTTGAGAGGAATAAAAGTTTATAAAATGGTAGGATAGATATTGGTAAGTGAAAGTCTAAAGCTAAACCAGTGATAGGATTTTGAGAGGACCTGGTGACTCTAAACCGACCTCAAGACTCTGTAATAGAAGAGTAACATAATCGAGTACTGAGTACTGAGAAACCTCATAGATAAGTATTTCAAATCACAGGTTATGGTCTTTGAAAAATTATGAAAAAATATATGTCAAACAATTCTAAAGGATTAACTGTGTAACCAGGTGTTTTTATTTTTTTTTAACCTTAGACACTAGTTCTGTGGACATATGTTAGAAAAAGTTGACCTAAAATAGGCTACATATGTGTCAAATGCCTGGCAAGTGCCAAAATGCGAATGCAGACATGGGCTACAAAACAATGGAGTAATGATCCTCCTTCAGATGGGTTGGAATTCCCTTTAGAGGCTGCATTTAGTTCTGGGAACTACATTTTAGAGGAGACTTAGATAATTTGGAGAAATGTTCAAAGATCAAGAATTGTGACGAAAGGAAAACCATACTACAAGAAGAATGACTGAAGCTATTCTTGTATTCATACAGCTCTATATTCTCCTCCTCATTCTATTTTATTCTAAAAAGACCCACAGTGAGAGGTTAGAAGAAGGAGGTATTTGACAGAGGGAATGGCTATGCTTGTTGCAATCCTAAATTTACAGTTTAGAAATAATAGTTAAATGGAGATAGAGTGTTTTTCTGCATACTGACTCAAAATGTGTCATTTAAAGCTACCCCCCAAATTCAAGTTTAGTCTAGAAAGGGAAGTCTTCACTGGGGTTACTAAACAAAACCCAAACCAAACCCAAAATTTATATGCTAGATATAAACAAGAATCAGATTCTTATGTGGTTCAACTAAATATCCTTAAAGATCGCTACAAAAATTAAGTATCAGTGGCTAATATATTAATATTAGTATACTTATCTAGTGAAGTAAAGAGCTCATCTCTAGAATTTAATGACATCTATGATCTTGATAGAGTCTCCCTTTGAATGATATCATCTTTTTCATATGGATCTTTGGGACTTTTGATTTCCAATCACAGATGAAATAAATTTTTATATTCAAAAGGAAATCTAGGCCAAACTTGACAAACAGACATTATAAAAATAACCCATCAATTGTTCCTGGTGTGAAGACAAGTTTGTTAACAAAGAACTAGTTATCTCTTATAGTGTTTGGTTTAACCCAAGATATTCTGCTGGAGAGAGGCAAGGTTTATCAATAAATTTCCCAAGCTATAATTTTTAATAAATTGCTATTTACTAGGACATAAGGGAGAATAAATATAGTGCAAAAGGGAGTTGTATGGAGGGTCAAATTATATTAGGGTCAAATAAATTCAGTTTTTGAGTACCTGTTTGATGTACAGAAATTGTCTTTTATTGGCAAATTCTTCTATTTTTAATTGAAATATAAATACTCTTTCAAAGCAATGAGAAAAATAACATATTGGTGCACAGGCTTTGAGTTTTTAAAAATTACATTTAAGTATATAACTCCAAATATACATAACTGCACACAAAAATATTGTCTATCAGATTTTCTAATAAAATGTAAATGTGAAGTAAATGTGCAAAATTTAATACAAACTAAAAATGATTCAAGTCCAGTTTACAATTTGATAATATCTTCAAATTTAGTAAAACCAGACTGCATTATTGAGAAAATTTGTATCATGAAAAATAGAAAAAAATGATAAGCTTTTAATAAGAGTTTTTAAATTATAATGAAATAGTATAAAAACTCATTAGTAAAATATAAAGTTTTAACAATAGTGATACACAGCCACACACCTCTATGTATAGATATAAATGGATTAAATGATTTCATGAAAAATTTAATTGCCCTGATTTTTAAAAAGTTTCCTAAAATCCTAAAATCTCTAAAATAGTTTAACAGTGAACAAGTAGAATTTGAAATTAAAAACAAATTACATTAGCAACCACAAAACTGAAATACTTAGATATAAATCTAACAAAATATGTACAAAATGTGTATGAAAAAAATTATAAAACTCTGATGAACAAAGTCAAAGGAGAACTAAAAAATGAAGAGATATTCTATGTTCCTGGATAGGAAGAATCAACACTGTGAATATTTCAGTTATTTCCAACTTGATCTATAAATTTAATGCAATCTCAATCAAAATCTCAGCATGCTATTTTATGGATACCAACAAACTGGTTGTAAGGTTTATATGGAGAAGACCAAGAATAACCAACACAATACTGAAAAAGAAAAACAAAGTTGGAGAACTGAAACTAATCGACTTTAAGACTCGCTATAAAGCTGCCATCATTAAGACAGTGTCATTTTGACAAAGTAACAGACATACAGATCAATGGAATAGAATAGACCCAGAAATAGACCCACATAAATATAGTGAACGGATCTTTGACAAAAGAGCAACGGCAATACAATGGATCAAAAACAGTCTTTTCAACAAATGGTGCTGGAAAAACTGGACACCCAAAGCAAAAAAGAGAATCTAGACACAGACCCTCACCCTTCACAAAAATTAACTCCAAACGGATTACAGACCAAAATGTAAAATACAAAACTATAAAACTCTTAGAGGGTAACATAAGAGAAAGCCTAGGAATCTCTTGGGTATGGCAATGACTTTCCAGATCCAACAAAAAAGGCATGGTCCACGAAACTGGATCCATGAATTTTAATGAAGCTGGACTTTATTAAAATTAAAAACTTTTGCTCTGTCAAAGAACATGTCAAGAAAATGAGAAGACAAGCCATAGACTGGGAAAAAATATTTGCAAAAGACACATATGATAAAGGACTGTTTCCCAAATATACAAAAACTTTTAAAACTCAATAATAAGAAAACTAACAACCTGATTTAAAAATGGGCCAAATATTTTAACAGACACCTCATCAAAGAAGAAATATAGATGGCAAATAAGCATACGAAAAGATGCTCCACATCATATGACATCAGAGAAACTAAAACAACAATGAAATAACACTACACAGGTATTAAAATGGCCAAAATCCAGAACACTGACAACACCAGATGCTGAGGAGGGTATGGAGCAATGGGAGCTCTCATATATTGCTGCAGGAATGAAAAACGTTACAGACATTTTGGAGGCCAGTTTGGTGGTTTCTTACAAAACTAAACAGTTTGGCGGTTTCTCACTATATGATCCAGAAATTATGCTTCTTGTTATTTACCCAAAGGAGTTAAAAACTTATGTCCATACAAAAACATGCACACTTTGTTCATGATTGCCAAAACTTGGAAGCAGCCAAGGTGTTCTACAGTAGGTGAATGGATAAATAAACGGTGGTATATCCAGACATGAAATATTATTCAGCGTTAAAAATAAATGAGCTATTAGCCATTAAAAGACACGAAGAAAGCTTAAATGCAAGTTTTAAAGTGAAGGAAGCCAATCTGAAAAGTTTTCTTATGTACTATATGATTCCAACTTTATGACATTTTGGAAAAGACAAAAAAACAAACTATGGAGATAGTAAGAGGATCAGTGGTTGGCAGGGCTTGGGGTGGGTGGATAAATAAGTGGAACACAGAGGATTATTAGGGCAGTAAAAATACTCTGCATGATCTCATAATAATGGATGCATGTCATTTTACATTTGTCTAAACCCATAGAAGGTACAACACAGGTACAAACAGCGAACCATAATGTAAACTATGGACTTTGTGTGATGATGATGTGTCAATGTAAAATGAGCAACTGTAACAAATGCACCACTCTGGTAGGGGATGTTGATAATGAGGAAGGCTGTGCATGTGGGGGAGAAGAGGGTATAAGGGCTATCTCTGTACTTTCCTCTCAATTTTGCTGACTCTAAAAAATAAAGTCTTATTTTTAAAAATTCTTAAAATAACTCAAAAGAATTATCGAGTTCTTTTAAGGAATGATATTCTATATCTTTTATTCCTATAAACCAGTATTCATCAGGTAGATATGTCTAAATTTATACAAAATAATGCATAGAACCATAGAAGTCAGTCACAACCACAGCTCGAAGAGAAAAATAAAGAGGTTCAAAGCCATACAGCTAGAGAATGGAACATCAGAGCTACAGGAGATCTGATTTACAGTGCAAGTATACACTAGCTTTTATCGTGCTTCCCTCTTAGAAGGAATGACTGGAAACACAAAAATGAGGTTCAGGTAAATAGAGAAGTAACATGATTTGCGTGGACATCAACCATCAGGGTCTGTATTCAGCAGGAGTAATGTGCCAAGAGTGTCTATTCTTGAAGGAATCTGGGTAGCCCTGGAAAAGACTGGGGCTGCTGGGATGGTGAGTGGCTGTGTAATCACAATCTTCTGACATGTTTAGGAATAGAATAAAAAACCCACTGGGAAACTGAGAAAACCTGCTGCTTTGGTTTGGTTTAGGGATAGGAATAAATGTGCTCTTTACCTCCATTTTCATTTTAAGGGTTTGTATGATTTTATGATTTTAATAATGAGAATTTCTAACTTTTCCTTTTGTCATATTTTCTTTGGATAAAAGATAAGAAGGAGGGCTAAAAGGTGAATGTTCTAGCACTCGCATTAATTACCTTTTGCTGTCAAATACATGGGACTTCCATGGAGAAAGACCAGGACCCTATTCCTCTGTTATGTAGATTGAAAACACATCTGTTCTACCTTCTGTTGGAACCTCTCAGGGTGCTGACTTCTCACTGCTATTCTATCATATGAGGAGAATAAATTTTACACCTACCTTATTCTTAGTATAAAGATAAGGCACCACTTTTTGGAATACCTTTGGCACTTGTTCCATGGTGTCATTATTAACAACGTGGAGCATACAGACTGGAAGTGTAGTATATACTTTGGGAACCAAAGTCATATCTTGAGGAACCAAAAATGTTTCTCTGTAATTACAAAAGCATGAACTTTCCCTTGACATGAATCATAAAGAAAGTTTGAAATTAGGTTTGATGCTAAGAAATAAAAACATAAGTTTAAAGTTGCAAATAACTTAAAAGCATGCATACTGTTTTCCTTTAAAATTCTTGTTGATACACTATTTTGTCATGCAGATGCAAACCTTTTAAGAAATCCCATTTATAAGTAGTTTGTGACTCTTACCTAATAGGCTGTTGCTTCAAAATGAGTAAATTTATTTATATACGGAAAGCGTCTCAATTTATTTTATTATGTTTACCATACTCATAAAAAGATCTAACAACACTTCATAGTCTTCATATTTTGTTTAAAGAAACATGAATAAAAATTTCTATAATATCTCATTTATGCATAGCAGATATGGAAGAAATTTTAACTAACTTCTGAAAGCAACTTAAACGTTCATATTAATACTTTTACTACTATCATAAAGATTCATAAAGAAAGCTCTGTATATATGAATATTTCATGCCACTTAAGAGTGATATTACTTGCCAATGTGATAGCCTCACCTGAATACTATAAACCAAGTATTTGGTGGCTGGTCTGCGTAAGTCACAGTGTAGTCAGCAAAAGCAGTCTTAGTTTCTTCATCTTGATAGCATGGATAAGATTCCATAGACTTGCACTTACTTTTAAACATTAGTCTAAAAATGTAAAAATAATTTAAGTACCAATGGCAAAACAACTTTTAAAATAAATTCTATTTACAAAAAAGAAATAGGCAAAAAAACAGCATAAAATATCATAGTACATTGTTGGCTAGATTGAGTCCTTCATCAAATGGGGGCTCGTGGTGCACGGCACCAAAGCAGGAGAGCCCATTCCAGATTAACCATGATGTCTATCAAAGGTGCCCAAAGTTATTTGAAGTTCTTAGTCAAGAGAGAACCTAATTCATGATCTGAGGAGTAACTGAAATTTATAGATGGGAAATCAGCACGAAAGTTCAACCTATAAGGGTGATGAAACTAGAAGCAGGCAAACTAGCAATAAAACTGGGTGGAAGCCACTGAAGGTCTGGGGTTGACTGGAGACTCAATACTAGAATGGAGTTTAAAGTGAGGAATGGATTTGGAAAAAAAGACTAAAAAAACCCCTGAAAATAGAGGCCACAAACAAGGGGAGAGTGCCAGAGTTTTCCTTCTACATGATTTCTGGTGCAACTGAGGTTTCTCCATGTTTGACCCCTGGAAGCCTGTGGCATATTCCAGAACACGATGGAAGTGATGAGAGAGATCCTCCAGGTCCTGTACCTCCCACTCTGCCAGGAACCGGACCCAGCCTCAGTAGCACCAGGAATCTCAGGTCTTTTATACAATGTCTTGGGTATTAGCTGGGACAGAAGCTATAATGGCCATAGGAATGGTTCTCTGTTAGAGGTCTAGACAGAGCTAGAGGTGCTCTTGGCTTCCAGAAGGTGGATGGCTCAACTGTACTGTCACGGGGAAGCAGAGCCATAGAGATCCTCACAGAGGATAGGATTCACATGCTCCATTTGATCACTGGTCTTTGGTGGTGGGAGGAAAATGACAGGTTTATATTCGGAAGGATTTTTAAAAGCTTTTCAAAATAATGACAAGAACAAAGACCAGGGCAATTATATATTCTGATTCTTCTGGGGCAGTCCTGGTGTAGGCTCATATCCCTGGCATCATTATTAATAGTGCTCCCTCATTCCCTGTCAAAGTGTCCCAGTTTGGTTGATAAATAACCTGATCACCCTCACTAGGAAGTATGAGGTGATGGTCAGTCAATGCAGAGTACCCCTGTCAATCATATGGGGGCTGGCTGAGTCTAAGTGCAGGAGCTGGCTGAGCCAGTACAGGAACTAAGCAGGCCACATAGGGAACTGAGTGCAATCGTGGGTCCCACCACGATTCTAAGAGAAGGGTGCAATTTAAAGGCCTTCCAGACTGTCACTGTTTCCATCACACGTTCTACTATTTTTCATATACCTCAGGAAATTCTAATGAGTATAGGACCATCAAAATCCTGATGTACCATGTGGAATATCTTAAATGACCCATAGAGAGAGATCCCTGACATAATCAAAAGATTTAGTTTTAACTTTGCATCCTAGGACAGAGAGAAAGTTATATTGGAAAACTGAGCCTTGCCCAAAGTCAACTGTTGAAGTTGTGCCCCTACAGGTCTGAGAATGCAAGGCTAGGCTCAAGGACCTCAAAGTTACTCATGTACTACTACTAATAATAGCAATATTTATAATAGCTAATGTTGTGTAATGGCTCAGTCTGTAGCATTGTGCTAAATAATTTTCCAGGATTACCTTAATTTATCTTTTCAGCTTTATAAAGGAATGAAGTAGATATTATTATCCTTATATTACAGATGAAAAAAACTTAATTTTATGTTCAGAGAGGATAAGAAACTTACCCCGGGTCACACATCTGATAATTAGTAGAAATGGGGTTAGCATTAGGTCTTATACTAAAAGATGTGCTTTTGACCGTGTAATTAATGCCTTCTAGGATGAGGAGGTAGCTTTGGATGCTCCTGACATTTAAGTTTAAAGATGGGTGAGACTTGTGAGTTTCATCCGTTCAATAGATTGGGGTGTGCAACTCAAACTATTGAAAGAGCATGGCCAATATCTGCATTGGATATTCGCTGAGTTTCTTTCTGGGAAATGCTCTTGGCTATGGTAGAAGGAACACATGGAGAGGAAAGCCAGCTCCCTGAAGGAGTTATGCCTGTGTTTCAAATACACCTCCATAGTGAACTGACCTGAGTCCCTAATAGGGCAACACATGATTTTAGCACTCCATTTGCATGAAAATTAGGTGTAATTTCTGGGCCAGAAATCTTCCTCACAATGTTGAAGCAGTTTGGAGAAGGAGGTTCTTCATGCTCTCTGTGTCTGTCCAAACAATTGGGGTCTTAGGCAGAAGAGTACCCGTTTTAGAAAACAGGCTTCTGGAGCAAAAGTTTAATCAAGCTGAATTATCAGGTGATAGCAGTATCCACAGGTCAGGACTTGGGTGAGGTGAGTGAGGTACTCACTCTCAGGGTTGGGAAAATACAAATTTGGATTTTTTCCAGATTAAAAATTTTGACATTTGGCTCATCATGAAATTTTTTCATTAACTTTAGGTTTATATGTTTACATGCATAATTTTCTGTTTGTCTCTTGCTTATAAATATAAGTCCAATCGTTATTTCATTTTGACCGTGTATCCAGAAACTTTTCTTTAATTTTCTCATTAATTCTAATAAATTCATGTAGGTTTTCTGGCATTTTCTACATATATAACCATGTTGCCTGTAAACAGTAGTTTTATTTCTTCCCTTCAAACTCTAGTGATTTTATTTTGCTTTATTGCCTTTTTGCCCTTCACAAAATTCCAGGACTATCTTGAATAGAAGTGTTTGGTCAGGTGTCTTTGTCTCATTCTCAAACTTAAGAAAAAGCTTTCAAAATTTCACCACTAATCATGTTTGTAGTAATTGCTTAAAAATAGTAGATACCATAACATATTAAGGAAAGTCTTCTCTAATCCTAGTTTGCTAAAAAATTTAAAATTTTTGAATTTTTGTTAAATTTTTTCAAATGTTTTTTTCTGAACCTAGCCAGAGAACCGAGTGATTTGTTCCTTTTCCCTGTTAATGCGCCAAATTGATGAATTTCCTAATGTTAAACCACTATTACACATCTTAGATTGGGAGAGCCACTTGGTTATAAGGTATTATTCTTTTAATATAATTCTGAGTTTGATTTGCTAATATTTTATTACACTTTTTCATCTAATTTCACGAGGGCATTTGGTTTGCAATTTCACTTTTTTTTACTGTCCTTGTTGAGTTTTTTAAATCAAGGTTATGAGTTGGTAAATGTCTCCTCTTTTTTTCTGTTCTCTGGAATATGTATAAGATTAATCTTATTTCTTAAATTCACTTGTGGATCCATTAGCATATTGCTAGCGAATGTATTATGTATCCTTGCCCTACCAGTGTTTCATCTAGATTATTACTTTTACCATTTCTGCAATAATGCTAGAACCTTAGAACTCTTTAAAGCTTATTACCCAACTTCTGCGTTTTGCATTGCTAAGGTTAAGAATTTACTCGTACATATGGCTCTTAGTGTGATTGTCCTTTGAAAATAGTGTGTCTTATTTCTCTGGTTACTTTGAAGGTTTTTCTTTTGGCCTTTGGTTTTCAGCAATTTGACTACGATGAGCCTGGGTATGGTTCTCTTCGTGTCCTTCCTGCATGGAGTGTGCATGCAGAGTCTCTTGAAAATATGGGTTGATGTATTTTATCAGTTTTGGAAATTTATCAGCTATTATCTTTTTTCATTCTGGGACTATAATGATACAAATATTAGACTGTCTAAGCATGTTCCCCATGTCCCTTAGCTCTTTCCTTATTCTCCACTATTTTTCTATTGACCTATCTCCCATTTCACTAATCTCTTCCTCTATTCTTCCTGATCTGCTGTTAACTAATTAAAAAGTTTTAAAAATTTCAGTTGTTAAAAATCTTATTTATGTAATTTCCATTTAACTGTGTTTTATTAATCTAGACTTTTAATTTATTTTCTCTTTCTTTAACCTTTATTTTCTTGGGCATTTCCATAATACTTACCTTTAGAGATTTGGTCTGCTAGCTCCTACATCACCAAGTGGTCTGCTTCTTTTATATATATATATATATATATATATATATATATATATATATATATAT